TGCATTAGGAAGTGATGTGGTGGAGGCTGACTCCATACACAGTTTCAAATGTAGATATGATAGAGCCCAATAGGCTCAGGAATCTGTACACCAGTTGATTGACGGTTGAGAGGCGGGACCAAAGAGCCAGAGCTCAACCCCCGCAAGCACAATTAGGTGAGTACAATTAGGTGAGTACACACACACACACACACACACACACGAAGGAGGTGATGGTGGAGGCCAAGACCGTCAGAGGTTTCAAAGCGTTATATGACAAAGAGTGCTGGGAAGACGGGACACCACGAGCGTAGCTCTCATCCTGTAACTACACTTAGGTAATTACACTTAGGTAATTATGGGGCCTGGTAGCCTGGTGGATAGCGCGCAGGCTCGTAATTCTGTGGCGTGGGTTCGATTCCCGCACCAGGCAGAAACAAATGGGCAAAGTTTATTTTTTACCCTGAATGCCCCTGTTACCTAGCAGTAAATAGGTACCTGGGAGTTAGTCAGCTGTCAAGGGCTGCTTCCTGGTGTGTGTGTGGTGTGGGAAAAAAAAAGAAGTTAGTAAACAGTTGATTGACAGTTGAGAGGCGGGCCAAAAGAGAAAAGTTCAACCCCCGCAAAACACAACTAGGTGAAAACAGTCTCTGCTGCCTGTACAAATAGATCCCATCTGCTCATCATGGCTGACTTCAATCACGGAAGGATAGACTGGGAGAACAAGGAACCGCATGGAGGAGAGGATACATGGAGAGCCAAGTTAATGGAGGTGGCGACAAGAACTTTCTAAGCCAACATGTCAGGGAACTCACAAGGATGAGAGGCAATGATGGACCAGTGAGACTCGACCTAGTCTTCACTCTGAACGACTCCGACATAAGGGAAATCGGCTTTGAGGCCCCAGTAGGAATGAGCGACCACAGTGTACTGGTGTTTGAGTATCTGGTTGAAGAAGGGTTATTGAACTCAAGGAGGGGCACTGAAAACAAAAGGCTGGCATTCCAAAAGGGAAACTATGAGGAGATAAGAAAATTTCTAACAGATATAACATGGGAAACAAAGCTCAGGGAAAAGACGGCCAAAGACATGATGGATTACATCACGCAGAAGTGCAAGGACGCACCAAACAAGTTTGTCCCAGTCCAAAAAGAAAACAATGAAATGAAGATGAGAAACCCGTGGTTTAATCAGAGATGTAGGCTAGCTAAGCAGCAAACTAAAAGGGCACGGAGAAACTATAGGAATAACAGGACACTGGAGAGCAGAGAAAGATACCAGAGTGCCAGGAATGAATATGTCAGGATGAGAAGAGTGGCAGAAAGACAATACGAAAATGACATCGCAAGCAAGGCAAAGACTCAATCTAAATTGCTGCACAGCCACATCAGGAGAAAAACAGCAGTAAAGGAATAGGTAATGAAATTAAGGATAGGGGGCAGAAGGATTCACTACAAACGACAAGGAAGTGTGTGAGGAACTGAATAAGAAATTCCAGGAGGTCTTCACCTTAAAGCAAGGAGATATTCCAGAGATAAGAGAGGGAGTTGTTAACCAGGAACCACTGGAAGAGTTTGAGATTACCAGTGCGGAAGTAAGGCAGTTTTTAGTACAGTTGAATGTGACAAAGGCTATAGGCCCAGATGGAATCTCCCCTTGGATACTAAAAAAGGAGCAGAAGCACTGCCTGCAACTCTCCATAGCGTATAACAAATCACTGGCAACAGGGGAACTGCCAGAAATTTGGAAGGCAGCTAATGTAATCCCGATATACACGAAAGGGGATAGTCAGGAGGCACTGAACTACAGGCCAGTGTCCCTAACCTGCATACCATGCAAGCTGATGGAGAAGATTGTGCAAAGAAAGCTAGTGGAGCATCTGGAGCGAAAGAACTTTCTAACACAGCATCAACATGGGTTCAGGGATGGCAAGTCCTGCCTCACAGAGTTAATTGAATTCTACGACCAGGCAACAAAAATCAGGCAAGAAAGAGAGGGATGGGCAGACTGCATATTTTTGGATTGCCAAAAAGCCTTTGATACAGTACCACACAAGAGGCTAGTGAAAAAGCTGGAGATGCAGGCTGGAGTGAAAGGGAAGGCACTCCACTGGATAAGGGAGTACTTAAGCAACAGAAGACAACGAGTCACTGTGAGGGGTGAGGTCTCAGATTGGTGAGACGTTACAAGTGGAGTCCCGTAGGGGTCAGTCCTTGGACCTATACTGTTTCTGATATATGTAAATGATCTCCCAGAGGGTATAAACTCGTTTCTCTCAATGTTTGCTGATGATACAAAAATTATGAGGAGGATTAAAACAGAGGATGATAGTAGGAGGCTACAAGATGACCTAGACAGACTGAGTGAATGGTCCAACAAATGGCTACTAAAGTTCAACCCGAGTAAATCCATAGTAATGAAACTAGGCAGTGGAAACAGGAGGCCAGACACAGGATACAGAATAGGAGATGAAGTATTTAATGAAACGGACAGAGAGAAAAATCTAGGAGTTGATATCATACCAAACCTGTCTCCTGAAGCCCACATAAAAAGAATTACGTCTGCGGCATATGCGAGGCTGGCTAACATCAGAACAGCCTTCAGAAACCTGTGTAAGGAATCATTCAGAATCTTGTATACCACATATGTAAGACCAATCCTGGAGTATGCGGCCCCAGCATGGAGCCCGTACCTAGTCAAGCACAAGACGAAGCTGGAAAAAGTTCAGAGGTATGCCACTAGACTAGTCCCAGAACTAAGAGGCATGAGTTGCGAGGAAAGGCTGCGGGAAATGCACCTTACGACACTGGAAGACAGAAGAGTAAGGGGGAGACATGATCACTACCTACAAAATCCTCAGGGGAATTGACAGGGTAGACAGGGATAAACTATTCAACACTGGTGGTACGCGAACAAGGGGACACAGGTGGAAACTGAGTACCCAAATGAGCCACAGGGACGTTAGAAAGAACTTTTTCAGTGTCAGAGTAGTTAACAGATGGAATGCATTAGGCAGTGATGTGGTGGAGACTGACTCCATACACAGTTTTAAATGTAGAAATGATAGAGCCCAGTAGGCTCAGGAATCTGTACACCAGTTGAGAGGCGGGACCAAAGAGTCAAAGCTCAACCCCCGCAAGCACAACTAGGTGAATACAACTAAGTGAATACACACACCGTGTATCTAGGGACCGTGGCTGAATGGACAGCGATTGGGACTCGTTATCCCAGGGCTCCGGGTTCGATCCAGGCCGCCGGCGGAAACAGATGGGCAGTTTTTTTTTCCCCCTGATGCCTCTGTTACCTGGCAGTAAATAGGTACCTTGGAGTTAGACAGCTGTTACGGGCTGCTTCCTGGGGATGTGTGTCAAAAAAAAAAAAATTAGTAGTTAGTAACAGTTGATTGATTGACAGTTGAGAGGCGATGTCAGGGTATTCATCTAATTGAGAGCACAACTAGGTGATTACACACACAATATTGGCCAGCTGCTTGAATACACAGTGGCGCTGGAGCAGTTGGCTACACCAAGAAACCCGGTGAAGAAGAAGAGAGATTACAGACAAGGGGACTACACGAGCACGAGAAAGATAGATGGAATGGAAGACAGCAAATGAGACAATAGAAATGTTGTAAATGAGAACTAGGAACAGAGGACAATACACAGCAACTAAAGTGAACTATAAATAAATACAACCAAGACAGGAGAGAATTAAGCTGAGAGGCAGTTTGAAAATTGCTTTGCTGCAAAAGTCATATAAGGAGGAAGGGGAAAAAAAATATCAATGCAAGACCGTACACCCAAATTAAGGAGATAAGGGGGGGGGGGGTTCTCATAGACAATAATAATGAGGTATGCGAGAAACTGAAAAAAAGATATCGATCATGAGGCAACAAGCGAACCCCAAATTGGGCGGGGAAGAGGTATCAATGTTCCAGGAACTACAAGAGACGCTCAGTAATCATGCGCTCGACCAGCTGGCAGACACAACTTGCCTGAACAATGACACGAAAGTACTTAAGAGGAGCCTCTTGAGCCCCTGAAGCTAGCACAACTGTCACGGGCTCACTATAGCCCGTGCTACATGGACATTTCGTTCTGAATAGCTAAATGTAAAACAACAATAACTTATGTCACCCCTTCCCCCAGTTACAGCCTCGCTCCTGTGCCAGGTAAGTCCACTACGGGCTCACCATAGCCCGTGCTACGTGGAACTTTTGTTCCCAGAAGCTGAATCTAAACCAACAACAACATCCTATCACAGTAACGAGGTTATCGCGAATAACCGAACTCAATTACGGGCTCACTATAGTCCGTGCTACATGGACATTTATTTATTTTTTCACATTCATTTCAAAGTAACTAAATCTAAAACAACAATTACTCCTGTCTCCTTTACGAGCTATTCATGCCGGCGTCACCTCTTGAGTGACTTAACTTTCATCAACCAACCTTGTCTCCTCACTTGAGAATGAACCTTGTTGGTTCGAAACGTTGTGTAAATTTATAATAATTGTAACACATTCTACAGTTAATTTTTATTCGTTTAGTCAACCTCAAACACACATGATATTTGGAGAAATTCTCTTCCAATTAAACAAGGATGCAAGAGCACTAGTCAGAGGGATAGAAGCCTTAAACAGGAAATAATCAACACTGAATATTCAATTAAATATGTCTACTGTAAATGAAAACCGGCTGCAGTATATATTAACATACATTCTGACTATGTATACATATATTCTGACTACATATATACACTCGCATACACTCTGGCAATATACACGCACTGGTTACATATATATATATATATATATACACACTGGCTACTTATACACGATAACTACACATACACAGACTACACAAACACACTGATGTACACATATAGCCAGTAGTGACACACTGTACTCACCCCTCCCCACCAGCAGGTGACTGACCTACCACCTTACCAATAACTTGCCCCTCCGTCAGTAGGTCCAGAAGCACCTACCACCCTGCTAACTACTCCCTACCCTCCAGCAGGACGAGGATGACCTACCACCTGGCCTACCTTGACCTTCGGGCTCGAGGGGAACCCGTGAGGTGGATCTTGAGGGCCCTCGACGTCCCCTTCACAGAGGAGAGGATAGACTTGTTAGAAAACTGGATAGGCAGGAAGCATGGTAAGGGTCACTGGTTCTAGAGGTGATGGTGATAGTCACTAGTACCAGTGATGGTAATAGTGACAGGTACCAGTGATGGTGATAGTGACTGGTAGTAGTGGTGATAGTGACTGGTATTAGTGGTGATAGTAACTTTTATTACTGACACTGGCGATGGTGATTGATACTAGTGATGATAGTGATGTATTAGTGATGGTGATAGTATCTTTATTTTGATTTTTTATTATTATTTTTTGCAGGGTGCGCGGGCCGTAAGCCTCTGGCTGGCCCACTAAGTGTTGCTTGTTTCTGTTTTGCTTGGGCGGAGTATGAGTAGTAATGAGATAGTACCAGGGACTGTTGGTAATATTGACTTCTTGTAGTGGTGGTGGTATTAATAGTGAATGGTTCTGTTGGTGATGGTGGTAGTCACTATGTGGAGGTCATGATAACACTGACCGGTTATATTGGTGTCAATGATTGTTATTGTTCTAGATGTGGTGGAGGGTGACTGGTGATATTAGCTGGCACCTGTGGTGCTAGTGATAGTGACAAGTTCTAGTGATGGTGATGGGTTCTAGTGGTGATGGTGATGGGTTCTAGTGATGGTGATGGGTTCTAGTGGTGATGGGTTCTAGTGGTGAAGGTGATGAGTTCTAGGGGTGATGGTGACGAGTTCTAGTGGTGATGGTGACGAGTTCTAGTGGTGATGGTGACGAGTTCTAGTGGTGATGAGTTCGAGTGGTGATGGTGACGAGTTCTAGTGGTGATGGTGCCGATTTTCAAACCCAGAGAAATATGGTAAACATAACACAAATTCGCCCAAAGAATGTGTTATGTTTATCATATTTCTCTGGGTTTGAAAATATGGTGAAGGCCTTGAAACGTTTTGATATAAATGTATTGTTTAACTACGACAATATTGTTGGTAAACTATTAGTTAGAAACAGACCTTGTAGTGATAATTGTGTCATTTATAAAATACCTTGTAAAGACTGTAAGAGGTTCTATGTTGGACAAACATCTAAAGATTTGAAATGTAGAAATTCGAAACATAAATACTCTGTAAGACATGGCCAATTGTCTAATGCTTTGTTTAGTTGTCAGAAAATACTCACCAAATTGATTGGGAAATGTCTTATTCAATAACGAATTGTGAAAGCACTTAAAACAGGAACATAATTGAATCTGCTTTAATACAGATTACAAAAGAATGTAATTTGAACATTAGCAGTGGCTTATATAACTTAGATCCATTTTTGGTAGAACAAGTAAGGGGCGATTGGGGTAGGATCATTGATACACATTTGTCTAATGTGATGATGACGTTCGAAAACACGAATTTTCTCAATATTTCTTATGTTTCTTTTCACTGTCGATGGTAATTGAAAAATCAATTCTCCAAAATTCATTTTTATTTTTAGTCTGACGCGATACTTGAACACATTTCGTAATAACTTATTACATTTTCAAAGACTTTAGTTTACACACACACAACTATAACCTGCAAACACTAAACAGAGTTTTACTATGCTATAATTTACACAGCTTTTATCTTATATACTCGCATTTGGGTGAGGTGATATATATATACTGTGTATATATATATATATATATATATATATATATATATATATATATATATATATATATATATATATATATGTCGTACCTAGTAGCCAGAACGCACTTCTCGGCCTACTATGCAAGGCCCGATTTGCCTAATAAGCCAAGTTTTCCTGAATATATATTCTCTAATTTTGTTCTTATGAAATGATAAAGCTACCCATTTCATTATGTATGAGGTCAATTTTTTTTTATTGGAGACAAAATTAACGTAGTTATATGACCGAACCTGACCAACCCTACCTAACCTATCTTTATAATTTAGGTTAGGTAGCCGAAAAACAATTCATGAAAACTTGGCTTATTAGGCAAATCGGGCCTTGCATAGTAGGCAGAGAAGTGCATTCTGGCTACTAGGTACAACATATTATATATATATATATATAATTATATATATATATATATACACAGTATATATATATACAGTATATATATACAGTATATATATATATATATATAGCCCTGTTGCTTATGCATCGTTAATCGCTTGGAAAGAGATGTTGTTGTCTTGCCTATATACTGAGTTCTTTTATATATATATATATATGTCGTACCTAGTAGCCAGAACGCACTTCTCGGCCTACTATGCAAGGCCCGATTTGCCTAATAAGCCAAGTTTTCCTGAATATATATTCTCTAATTTTGTTCTTATGAAATGATAAAGCTACCCATTTCATTATGTATGAGGTCAATTTTTTTTATTGGAGACAAAATTAACGTAGTTATATGACCGAACCTGACCAACCCTACCTAACCTATCTTTATAATTTAGGTTAGGTAGCCGAAAAACAATTCATGAAAACTTGGCTTATTAGGCAAATCGGGCCTTGCATAGTAGGCAGAGAAGTGCATTCTGGCTACTAGGTACAACATATATATATATATATATATATATATTATATATATATATATATACACAGTATATATATATACAGTATATATATACAGTATATATATATATATATATAGCCCTGTTGCTTATGCATCGTTAATCGCTTGGAAAGAGATGTTGTTGTCTTGCCTATATACTGAGTTCTTTTATATATATATATATATGTCGTACCTAGTAGCCAGAACGCACTTCTCGGCCTACTATGCAAGGCCCGATTTGCCTAATAAGCCAAGTTTTCCTGAATATATATTCTCTAATTTTGTTCTTATGAAATGATAAAGCTACCCATTTCATTATGTATGAGGTCAATTTTTTTAATTGGAGTTAAAATTAACGTAGATATATGACCGAACCAAACCAACCCTACCTAACCTAACCTAATTTATCTCTATAGGTTAGGTTAGGTAGCCAAAAAAGTTAGGTTAGGTTAGGTAGGTTAGTCGAAAAAACATTAATTCATGAAAACTTGGCTTATTAGGCAAAAAGGGCCTTGCATAGTAGGCTGAGAAGTGCGTTCTGGCTACTAGGTACGACATATATATATATATATATATAAAATAACACACACAATACTCAAATTTTTTCCTTGTCTCAACTTAAGATCTTTCTAACCAAGCCTCCTGAAATATTACTTTGTGTAACCATGTAGGCAAAAGTAGCAAAATGTTGTAATGAAGGCCCGGAACACCACTTTTTGTACTATTTTTAAATAACATCCAGAAAACTAAAACTAAAATTAAATATTTCTAGGTCTGGTATAGCACATGTATATTTTATATTAAGCATCAAGTAGTGTGTATGAAGACCAAGATGGTTAGCCTAGGTTTTACTAGCAACGTAAATATAAAAAACTTTTCCCGTTTGTTCAAATTTAAGAATACAAAAGTCTGCTTTCTGGTGATCCATGACGGCATATTTGTACTACTGACCACATAGATACTGTAAGTACTTTCATTTCAAGAGACCAAGTTGGATCTTTCTGTGTGTAAATAGTCCCCTCTCTTGGTGTCAGAGTTCGAGTGGGGCCGTGTTCCCGTCCTTGTGTGTGAAGGACAGCAACTGCACCAGACCACCACCATCTGTCGTTACCTGGGGGAGAAGCATCACCTGGCCTCCACTGACATCTGGAAAGCAGCACTCCAGCAGGAGGTTGTCGAGGCCTTCCACGATGCATCTGCTCATGTTGCTTTCACTTTCTTTGCTAGGTTAGTAAGTCAATACTCAATTCTTTATATTTTCAGGGAGGCTCCAAAGTTGGCCCTTTGTGGATTGTTCCACCAATTCAGTTCACACCAGACCCTAACGAGTCATTGTAAGCCTACTGGGGGTTTAAAGGTCAAAACCTGGCCCCCTCTATAGAGGTGCAAAAAGCAGGTAATACTAGATCACCCTAGCCAAGGAAAGGCCACTCAAAAGGTAGGCAAACCAAAACAGACAATCCACAAGATAAATAAAGAATAGAAAATACAACCAGTCCTCAGACCAGGCTCGTTAAAGCTGTGGCCATCCCCCCCAAGATGCAATCCTTCTAGTTCCCAGTAGGCCTTCATATGATTCACAAGGGCCTGGTGCAGAACTTTAGGGTTGGAGCTAACCAGGTGGAAAATGTATACTTACATTTACAATGGAGCTACTTGTATACTTACATTGTAAGTGTATACTTACATTGGAGCTAACCAGGTGTATACTTGTCGAAAATCAAGTAAGTATATACAGGTCTGACATCATATGTATAAGAGTATGCAGTACTGTACATAGTTTTGACCCCATGCTTCCAAATGCAATTTAAATTACAACTAAATAAATGTAATTCTAGGATGCGTCAGGACAAGGTGCAGCAACAGTTCATGTGGGAAAAAGTGAAGACCCGCCTGCCAGAACTCGTGCAGATACTGGAGGCCCGCATCACCGACCAAGGCTGGATTCGCTCCTGTAAGGTAGTTATGGAGAGGGACAGGGTAGAAAAGAAAATGAAGGAAAGGAAGAGCAACTTATCGCAACACATTACAAAGCTGTTGCAAGTTACATTCTACAGAGGGGTCTGCCACTGGCATAGGGAAACCTCAGTCTACAGCAATGGAAATCAAAAGCAAGATGACATGTCTCAATGTATGTTTGATACATTTAGGAACACTGTAATGGAAAAGAATCTCAATAAGAAAGCAAAACAGACTGAGGTCCAGTGTAATAAATACAACTTTATTTTTAACCCAGGCAGCACAGTTTTTCTGCGCAAGGTCTCCTCTGTCACTACCAGACCAAAGGCCAATCCACCCAGGACACAATTCACACCCCAAGACCCCTCAATGACCTTTGCCCCAATGAGAAGACAATCTTTGCAAATGATGACAAAACCACACACCAGAAGATGAGGCGATGGGAACATTTCGGTCCGTCCTGGACCATTATCAAGTCGATTGTGATGGGGGCGAGGGATTGTTGTTGTTGTTTTAGATTCAGCTACTTAGAACAAAAAGTTCCACGCAGCACAGGCTGTGTGAGCCCGTAAGTGGAGGCTCCTTGGAGCCATTATCTGTATCAATAGCTGATACTGGAGATTTGGGGATGGGGGCTGGCTGTACCAGTTATGGAGCTAGTAGGTTAGTGTAGACCTTTAGGTCTTTCATTTTTTCTTTGGCTGAGACTGGCTGCGAGTTGATATGGCCATGCTGTCGTTGGAGGTGGCCTCCATGAGGAGGTCTTGTACTGAGTGAGTGTCGTATTTGTGCTGTGGCGGTAGAGCTTCTACGAAGATTTCCTCGGCTGAGGAGTCCATAACATCCATAGTGGGTGGTTTTGTCTTTCGTCTCGCAGCCCAAGGTAGGCTCTGGTGTCGTGGATTAGTGGTAGAAGCTATTTCAGGAGCGTTGGTGGTGCTGTTAGTATTTGTATACAGCATGTCTGCTGAGATGGTGATGGTATGAATGTTGGGAGCTGGAGAGGGAAAATACCCATGTTTGTGCCACCTGGGTCTTGGGTGGTTCTGGAGTCTGTGTTGAGATGGACCAAGTGGTTATCCTGGTGGTAGTGTCCGGAGTGGTAGTAGAGGCAGTGAGACTTGCGTCTGGGGCAATGATAGGCTCCCGGCCGTTGGCTAGGTACAGCGCATTGAGTTCCTTGACAAATCGTTGTCTGGTCCTGCAAGCCTCTCCACTAGTCGAATAAGACTAGGAATAATGCCTGCACATGATGTAAGGGACTGTGAGGGTGCTGGTTGGTCCGTAAGTCCCCAGTGTGGAGGCTGGGTGGCCTATTGGGAGAAGCCACTATTTGGTAGGACTAGGAAATGTTCTAGTAGGTTGGGAATGAGTGAGGCACAGGCATAAGAAAGGCAAGAGTGAGGTGAGAAGCAAGTGAGAAGAGGTAATTCTTAGGAGGTAAAAGCAAGGCAAAAAGGTAAGAACAAGAAGCAAAATGAGGTATGGATGGGATGGGTGTAATAATAAGGTGATGGAAAATGGAACGTAAGAATAAGAGGAGAAATAAAAAGAAAAAAAAAGGGGTAAGCTTATGTTAGATCATGTTTGTTAGAAAGGTTAAGAGAGATCTCTAATGTATATATATATTTGCTTCTTGTTCTTACTTTTTCACCTTGCTCTTACCCGGTGGAGGTGGAAACAAATGGACAGTTTCTTTCACCCTGACATCCTGTTCACCTAGCAGTAAATAGGTACCTGGATGTTAGACAGCTACTGCAGGCTGCTTCCTGGGGGTGTGTAACAAAAAGGAGGCCTGGTCGAGAACATGGCCACAGGGACGCTAAGCCCCAAAGTCATCTCATGATAACCTCAAGATAGTTAATTTTCCATTAACTCTTCCATCCATGATACTCCATCCTCTTTCTTAGTTTCTTCCCCCTCCATTTCATTCCTCACTTCACTCCCCTGGTTGATACCTGGTTGATGGGGTTCTGGGAGTTCGTCTACTCCCCAAGCCCGGCCCGAGGCCAGGCTCGACTTGTGAGAGTTTGGTCCACCAGGCTGTTGCTTGGAGCGGCCCGCAGGCCCACATACCCACCACAGCCCGGTTGGTCCGGCACTCCTTGGAGGAATAAATCTAGTTTCCTCTTGAAAATGTCCACGGTTGTTCCGGCAATATTTCTTATGCTTGCTGGGAGGACGTTGAACAACCGCGGACACCCCATCGGTTTGTCATAGCTAATTTTTCTAGAGCTTCAATTCTCTTGTCCAACTTTGAGGTATTCCAAGATCCGTGTACCAACTGCAGAGTTCACAACGCTGCCCTTCACCATGGGGGTACACTTTTTCAGATTCATTTTCTACTGCCACTAGGCTAGCCTTAATTGCCATTCCTTTCACCCAAACATTGGTCACAGAGGCTATCATTGTCTCACCACTGTTTCTTCCTTGTTCCTGCTGTCAGATCTTGCCTTCCTGGGAGAATTCATTTACCCCTACTTATGGGTGCCGGCTTGGAATCTCTCACAAGGGGCTTCATGGGACATAGAGAGGAACCAGCATTGTGAATGCCTCAACAATTGCAGTAAGAGGGCAAAACAAAATTCTCCTTTGTCAATCCTGACTACACTGTCACGAGTCATGCATGCTTTTTACCCCATTACCAACATCTGGGGTCAAACTGGCATTTCCAAGCCATGTGTTCTCAACGAGAATACTTCATGTATAATGTAGGCTCCTCAATATATTTTGACACTTTCCTATATACAAGTCCTTGTACAAAAGTCTTTCACCCTTTAACAAGACCTTTAATCTGGCTTTGTTTTTCACCATATATAATGTTCCTCTTAGCCCACACAATACTTTCATTGTTGAGATGAAGAAATTCAGGATCCGAGTACTGGTATGTCAGATACTTAAAATACTTTAGTGTAAATTATTCCCACTTCAGGAGAAACCAAAACAATATTCTTAAATCCGTCAGACGATATATGTTCCACTGCCTCTTCTGTCCCAACCGTTATGTAGGGCCGGTGAACACCCTCCTTAAATAATGGTTCATATTCATCAAATTCCTTGGCCAATTGAACGGTCCACTCTAGATTCTGTTGAAAAGTTAGTTAACATGTCAAGGGAAATAACAGCCACTTCCTTCCAGTATACTGCCCATCTTGCTGTGTGCAGTCCTGTTGCGTCTGTCGGGTGAGACTTCTGTTTTGAGAGTGGAGAGTAATTAAAGATCTTGGTCTTGTCTGTCATAAATCATTGCAATTTTTCAGTCATTTCTCATCCCAACTACTCATGCTTTCACTTCTTACCCATGTGTTTATAGTCTGCCACTTTTTCATTACTACCTGAAATGGTTGTATTGTATGTCATCCTCACTCAGACTCTGTAGACATAGTAGAAGTTCGCTCCATTTGCTTGATAAGCACAAATACTGGTTCGCTATAGTGGTTAGCACAAGTTAACCTCCAGGAACGCTCCTGACACACATCCGTCTCTCGCAGCAGCTAGGATAAAACTATTGACTAGTGTGTAATTTTACAAATTTATATAATTAAATGTATGGAATGCTATGCTAAAAAATACTTAAATGCTATGCTTAAAAATATGGTGCACATATTAGTGACATGTATATTATATTTTTAGAACCATAAAACACAATGTTTCTGCAGTTCTTACACTGCATATACACTTTATATCTAGTACAGTATAACTATCTACATTTTCATGCACCATTACGAATCACTAAGTGTTTCTTGTGAGTGTAATAATCTTATATAATGGTTATCGGGGTTCAGCCAAGTCATGCATTGCTTGCATGATACTGTCTCAGCATGCATGAATATAGTATAGTATTTTCTGCGTATTTTAAATGATTTTACCATGGTTTTTTGAAGTGTAATGATGCATTAGGATGTCAATAATATTTGTATCACAAAACTTGTAAAATATTGGTACACACAGATATTTATGTTACTAATTCAAATTCAAATATTATATTCTTTGAACAATATAACATACAGTTTTTGCTCTTATTACATTATATACACAACATTACATATGTTGTGTATATAATGTAATAACTCACTCACACTCTCTCAACATATTTAAACACCGTAACGAACCAATAAGCAGTTCTGGTGGGTGCGGTGGATGGAATCAAAGCACAACATAGAGCCACATAATACGAGCAGATGATGCCAGCAGACATCACCATCTGAAGAAAGAAAATGCCTCTAATATACAATGCACATCACTAAGACTAACCAGAGAACTGCTAATATCATCACTACATTTCTGTCACTAAATCCTGAATATAAATCCACTTCCACAAGGTTATATTGTAAGGAGCACGAGTTCATTTCATGAGACGTAGATGCACGAAACAATGGCCGAAAGTCTGCCTCATGCTGTGAACATCATAACTAGCATTGATTTATTGATATCTGAAACCTTGTACATAGTTTGTATCACAATCAATATCATCTATGACACTATGATCACAAAATAAGTGCTGTTACTCATTTTATTCATTTCAAGTGGTGCTATGGTCCATAGCTGCACAGTAGTACTGTGAGCTTCTGCTGAATGTGATATCCTTGGTTGCTCTCTGAGTGCCAAGGCTCTCACAACCAGGAGGGATCTTCTTGAGGTTTATCTTGAGATGATTTCGGGGCTTAGCTTTCCCTCGGCCCGGTCCTCGACCAGCCCTCCTTTTTGTTACACATCCCCAGGAAGCAGCCCGTAGCAGATGTCTTAACTCCCAGGACCCTATTTACTGCTAGGTGAACAGGGACATCAGGGTGAAAGAAACCTTACCCAATTTGTTCCCACCTCTGCCAGGGATCAAACTTGGAACATTAGGACTACGAATCCCGAGCACCATCCACTCAGCCGTCAGGCCCCCTAACATGATGCAGGGATGTTGGGATGCAGACGATATTTTTTTTCTTCTTCACCCTGAAGAAGAGGATGTGAGCCCACCATATACCCGTGGGAGTCTTAAATCTTATGCTGCACCTAAAAATAACCCAAGTTGTGCTGTGCAGTTGAAGGGTTAAATCTCTGACTGGATTACAAATTTGCAATAGAAATATAATGCCAAGGTTGGTTTTTAGAGCAACATAAAGTATGCACAACAAGTTTAATCACTGGTACTACAAAATTGAAGTGCTTACAATTAAGCACTTTAACACTACCAGCACCAAAGTACTTTAGTGCTGATAGTACTAGTTACACATGTTTAGATAAATATCAAGAATTAGCTGTACCCGGCCACGCGTTGCTGTGGCTCAGCAACGCATGTGCATTGCTGAGCCACAGCAACCTTTCCCTGTCCCCCAGTCCTCCCACCATTCCCCCCTCCCCCGTCCCCTCGTCCTCCCCACTCCATCATCCCTTCATCCTCCAAACCATTCTCACCACTACACCGACAGAGTTCCACATAAGAGGTTGTTCTGGAAACTGGAAAATATTGGAGGGGTGACAGGTAAGCTTCTAACATGGATGAAAAATTTTCTGACTGATAGAAAAATGAGGGCAGTGATCAGAGGCAATGTATCAGACTGGAGAAATGTCACAAGTGGAGTACCACAGGGTTCAGTTCTTGCACTAGTGATGTTTATTGTCTACATAAATGATCTACCAGTTGGTATACAGAATTATATGAACATGTCTGCTGATGATGCTAAGATAATAGGAAGGATAAGAAACTTAAAAGATTGTCATGCCCTTCAAGATGACCTGGACAAAATAAGTATATGGAGCACCACTTGGCAAATGGAATTTAATGTTAATAAATGCCATGTTATGGAATGTGGAATAGGAGAACATAGACCTCACACAACCTATATATTATGTGAGCTTCTGTGTTCGTGAACGCGCTTTGGATTGATTCGGTTTCCCTTCTTCCCTGTTTGCGGGTACGGATCTCCAAGGTCGTCCGTAGGATTATTAAGGCTAGCCAGCCTGCACTCTATCCCCGTGCCCATGACGTTCACAAGTTTGCGGCTCTTGCCGCTGTCTTTGGCAATATGTCCTGGGCTGACATTCGGGCGGGGGGATTTTGGCGATCAAACAGGATCCTGGCTGCTCGTTATCTCGTGAATGTTCCTGGGCCTAGTCGGGCCTGTGTCACTTTGGGTCAGCGGTTGCAGCTAGTTGTCTAGATTTTGAGTTGAAGAGTGAGCAGCGACCGCCTCCCAGGTAAGTCCCTATGTTTTTCCTCTGAGTAATTAGCTCCAGGGAGCCGAAGGGGCTCCCCCAGAAAACCAGCGTTGAATGTAATGAAACACCATTCTCTGGGTGAGACCCGGAGGCTCCCTCGGCATCCCTCCGATTTGGTTGGCGGTTTATCGTGTGTTTTGACATCCAGCCTAAGAACTAAGGGTGGATATCCGGTGTGTGGGGTCTAGGGCACCCCCTTCCCCCTCCCGAGGAGAGGGGGGGAGCTGCGTAGACAGCGGCGTGGCGATGTGTGACGTCATGATCGTTTACTTGTTTCGTTTAGGGGGAGTTCTATCCACTTGTTCGGCTTATGGTAGCAATATTTTCACCAGAATAGAGGTTTGTTTTGGGATACAGTACTTACCTTTCTGGGTGCCTGACCCGGTCGATGGCAGACATAGAATGCTTCCAACCACACGGGGGCTTCTATAGGCCATTGCTCCCCTTGCCTCTCTGAGGGGGCCAGGTTCTGGCTCGTGGTCCCCGGTAGGCCCACAGAACTCCATACATATGACTGATGCTAAAGTCTGACATTAGCATATCAGCCTGGATAGCTCCGGAGAGCCTCCGGGTCTCGCCCAGAAAATGGCGTTTCATTACATTCAACACTGGTTTTTTCCAGAGAATTTATTTCCTGCACACAGGGTGGATGCTGTATTTGGAAGCCGAGCAGCCCAGTGGTTAAACATTAAGCTTAGCAAGCGTTGATGATGATACTTACATTAGAATGCATTGGGTATATTTTCTTATTTAATTAAATATCTATCACCTTCTAAAGCAGTATGTATATTTAGATAGACATTATACATATATGGTTATTTACAGATGACATGGGTGGATGTGTTCGTGGCAGCATACCTGGATTTGTACAAGGATTATCTGCCAGGGCTTCTGGATAGTTTTCCCAAGTCTAAAGAACTCATGGATCGTGTCAAGGCCCTGCCATCTATTAAGGCATGGATAGAGAAAAGGCCTAACTGGCACAAGTTTGAGGAGCCTCAAGGACTTGTTTAGTCTGCTACAACTCGTACACAGTTTTATACAGATATTAATTTACATAAATTGATTTTCACAACAAATTCAACTGCAATAATTTTTTTTATTGTATACTTTATAATTTTCAGTAAATTCTATGTCTTTACTGTATAATTTAATATAACTGGACAGTGTAACATATTCGTTGCCTTGCAGGGTTGAATGTAGACACAGTAGGCACTTCTGTATATTTATTGACTGAGACAACAAGGTGTATATCTGGCCAGCCGAGGTCCACCTACTCTGGGTCTGTCAGGAGAACTGAGGCTGCTGGGAGCACGGCTGGTGACTGTGTCTGGCATGACGTCAGAGGCCTACTTGCCTGTGATTGGTTATGTCTCAACAGACATTCAATTTGAGTATAACACCGCTCAGACATGCTACCAAGTCGACATCCCTTGTCGACAAGCTCTGGCTAGCTATATAGTTACAATGATACTGAAAGGACCTCGGTGGCATTCGATAATGGCTTACATGTGAAATTTGCAGGTCAGCATTCAATCCCGGTCGTTCAAGTGGTTAGGCAACATTCCTTCCTTCTGTTTTTTCCAAATCCTTATCTTTATTCCTCACAAGTGCTATATAATCGTAATGAATTAGCACTTTCACCTGATAATTACCTTACTTTATTTCATGTCGCATGTTTAACCCTTTAACTGCGCGGCCTATAAATATGACAACCCCCCCCAGTGCGCAGGAAATAAATTTTCTTGAAAAATTCTTTCGTTTTTTTAGTATCAAAAACCCTTCCCTCAGTATGGGTATGTAAAAAGAAATTCGAACTTGTACGTCCTTTGGCTGCTATGGGGTCCTTAAGTTGGCGTGTGACGTCATCATTCTCCGTTCGCCCGTGACGTACACTCCCGGAGCCAGTAGGGTGCCCGGGGTGGGGCGCGCCAGTTGCCGCGAATATATTTTTGTTAATTTTTTGCGCACAGTTCCAGATACATTTTATTTGTTTTTTTGTTTTTACGTGCTAATCCTATGTATAATGAACACATACACTATATTATGGCAGTAAAACATCCGTACTGTCCGAGGACACTGTGCTACGTGCATGACACTTGTATACACATATGTTGCACATATTTGCCATGTACCATGCTAATTTATGTATATATACAATCTATTTACAGACTATATACTGTCAAACACTATATACATTCACGATCAACACACTCAGAACACCGCAAGTGTGAGCTGTCACACCCAGCCAGCCCTCCCTCACTCCTCCAACATTGTATTTGCCAACATTCCTCCTACCATCATACAGTTATTCACACCAATGTTTCATGTTCATTTATGTATATTTACAACATATGTACACACTATACACTGTCACACACTATATACATTCACCATCAACACACTCAGAACACTGCGAGTGTGAGCAGCCACACCCAGCCACCCCTCCCTCACTCAAACTCCTGATGCTGTTATTACACTATACACACACACACTGTATATACCCATGTACATGTGTGTTCCCCATAGCGAACCATGAAGCTAGTATGGTGAGCAAAACAAGAGTGGCTGCCACATAGTGAGGCTACCTCAATTCTCTCCCTACCTCCCTCACCAAAATTCCTCGTTCCACAATACTACGCTCAACGCTAATTATAACCACAATCCTGGTCACTAATTCCTGTAAATGAATAATTGACCACAAGTTTATTTTGAAAAGAAACCTAAAAAGTAGTTTGAAGATTCCTAGACGGACAAAATAATGCTGTGGTGCTGTGGCTAGCGCTGTGAACATCATCAACAGCATTGAATCACTGATATTTGAACATTGTACCCAGTCATTATCACACTCAGGCTCTTCTATAATACTATCATGGCTAAATAATACAAGTTATATATATATTATGACATTATTAGGCGATGCTGTGGTCACACGTTTAACAGCAGTGCTGTGCGCTCATGCTGCGAGCGCCAGCCTTGGTTGCTCACACACTACTGAGGCTCCCACACCCGGGAATGTGGACCATGATTTTTTTTTAAAGATGGCGTCTGTTTACAAGAACCCTGAGGAAGCTGATGTGAACCCCATATAGCCGCGGGAGTTTTGAATAGAGCGTGAAAAATACAAATACCCGGAGGTGCGTTGCGCACCTGAAGCCTGGGCCTGCAGGCGCGTTGCGCAGTTAAAGGGTTATCTTGAGGTTATCTTGAGATGATTTCGGGACTTTAGTGTCCCTGCGGCCCGGTCCTCGACCAGGCCTCCACCCCCAGGAAGTAGTCCGTGACAGCTGACTAACACCCAGATACCTATTTTACTGCTAGGTAACAGGGGCATAGGGTGAAAGAAACTCTGCCCATTGTTTCTCGCCGGCGCCTGGGATCGAACCCAGGCTCACAGGATCACAAGTCCAGCGTGCTGTCCGCTCGGCCGACCAGCTCCATTAATCCACATTCACCTTTATTAGAGTCAACTACCTTGTTGCTCAATTTTCAAAAGATCAGTAACTGGATAATGCCAATATATTAAACTTTACTTATAGAAAACTTCTTTGGAAATACCTATTGTCATTTTGGATGTCAAAATAAATCTTTCTTAGAAATCGGCTAAACCAGAGTGTTCAAGATTTGTGGATGTAATGAAACGCCATTTTCTGGGGGTTGCCCCGGAGGCTCCTTGAAGCTATCCAAACTGATATGTACTATAATAGTTTGGGGTTGTCAGTCATAGGAGTTCTTATGCCTACTGGGAGCCATTAGCCAGAACATGGTCCCCCACAAAGAGCGCAGGGAGCAATGACGTATGAGCACTTTACATTTAAAGTATGTCATATACCGCCATCGACAGGGGTGGGTACCCTGAAAGATAGTTGAACCAAAATAAATAACTAGCCAGTAAAATTGCTACCAACAGCCAGAAAGAGCAAAAAAAAAACTCCTGCTGAAAAAAAAAAATATAGCAACCCTGTCCTTAACTAGTACTCTAGATCATTAGTGTACCCTCCCCCCCACAATAAGGGAGAAAGGGGGGAGGGCAGCTGGCTCAGGTGGGCCAACTGCCCACCACTTCAGTTCTAGTCATGATGGAATAAACTGCCGACCGGAGGGAAGGAGGGTGTCAGGAAACCTCCAGGGTAACAACAAGAAAATAGCGTTTCATTACATTCAACGCTGGGAAGGGCAGCTGGCTCAGGTGGGCCAACTGCCCACCACTTCAGTTCTAGTCATGATGGAAAAAACTGCCGACCAGAGGGAAGGAGGGTGTCAGGGAACCTCCAGGGTAACCCCAAGAAAATAGCGTTTCATTACATTCAACGCTGGTTTTCTGGGGGAGCCCAGTTGGCTCCCTGAAGCTAACTACCCAGAGAAGGAAAGACAGGGATATACCTGGGAGGCGGCATAACTGCAGGGCTCGAAGCAAAGAAGAGATGCCGAGACAGACGCCCCAAAGTCACACTAGGCCGGAAAGGGCCCACAACGTTCACACGATATCTGGCGGCCAGGACCCTGTTCGATCTCTAAACCCCCATGCCCTAATGTCAACCCAAAACATGATAACAAAAACCTCTGTGTACTTCAGTACAACATGGGCATGAGAGTAGATCACACGCTGGCTGGACTTTATGACACTACGGACAACCGGAGACACACAAGTCCAGGAACAGGGAACCAGGGAAACCAAATCCACCCAAAGAGCATCCACCATCACAGAGAGCGGCCTGCAAGTAGCAGCGTAAAGCTGCCACTGGACACTACACATGATGCACCCCTGACCTACCCTGGTCAGTGGCAGAATATGACATACTTTAAATATAGTGTGCTCATAGGCCAATGCTCCCTGCACTTGAGGGGGACCAGGTTCTGGCAACCCCGTGCCAGAACCTGGTCCCCCTCAAGTGCAGGGAGCATTGGCCTATGAAGGCATAAGGACTCCTGTGACTGATGACCCCAAACTAATATAGCACATATCCATTTAGATAGCTTCAGGAAGCCTCCAGGGCTAACCCAAAAAACACGCAATGCATAGTACAGGAAAAAGTTTTCTTATTTTCTATAAACTTCATGAGAAGTGTTCACTTTGAGTGATGAGTCGTTCCGAGCATAGAGAAAATGGATTAAATTGACCACGAAGAATAGACAAATGCACACAATGATACCCTCTCGCCTCTTTTCCAATCTACATAGGGTTATATTACACTCTAGAAATGATGATGTAACACTATTTTAATCAAATGTTCAAATTATTACACATCACTGTTCTGCCTTCAATGAGGCATTTTTGGTATATAAAAATATTATTACAGCTCAAGTGCAAGGAGTCACTATTTGGAAAAATTCTTTGAGACAGCTTACAATACAGTAATAACTACATTATAGAATAAGGCCAGTCAGATTTAAGCTTGATTATGACCACAAAATCAGCCATGACAAATAGTTTATTGTGACTTAAAGAACTACAGTGAAACCTCAATTCAACGAACTATACAGGATCAACCCCAATTGGTTGCAGTAACGGATTCATTGCAACTGGAAATGCCTCCAGGAGGCATTTGCATGACTTTTTTGTCTTCCACAATAAGATGCACCAACTGTTTCTTGTAATGTATCCATGTACCAAAATCATTAAAAAACAAGATGGAAGCCATATTAAATGAAGTTATTATTATACCCAAATATTTCTCATGCTCTGAGCTGATTTCACAGCAAAATTTTAATTTCAACCTGTCTTATGAAGGACAACTACTAAGATAACCTGTCTATAAAGAGATTTAATCACATTTAGAGTAAGTCTCCGTGGCGTAGACAGTCTCCGTGGCGTAGACAATCTCCGTGGGGTAGTGGTAAGACACTCGCCTGGTGTTCCGCGAGCGCTATGTCATGGGTTCGTATCCTGGCCGGGGAGGATTTACTGGGCGCAATTCCTTAACTGTAGTCTCTGTTTAACGCATCAGTAAAATGTGTACTTGGATGAAAAAACGATTCTTCACGGCAGGGGATCGTATTCCAGGGACCTGCCCGAAACGCTACACGTACTAGTGGCTGTACAAGAATGTAACAACTCTTGTATATATCTCAAAAAAAAAAAAAAAAGTATGCTAGATGTGGTTAAATCAACATTACAAGAAATCTAGCCTTGAAATCCCTTCCCATGCCCTAGCCTTAAAATCACATTTTCAAAGGAAGAAGGGCCCATTTTTTACTGAATGAAAACTTCTGCAACTAGAAATAAAAAAAAGAACCATACAATTTTGTCTTAAATACTGTATGCTCAATGGCTTTCTTAATCAAAGCTCCCAAACCTTTATCATCATCTTATGTCCATCTACGAAAATCATTAAAAAGGTGATTGGAGCCCTATTAAGAGTGTTCCCATTCATACCCCTCATATTTTCCATGCTCTTTGGGCTGCTTTCACTGAAAGAATTTTTAATTTTAACCAACGATATGATAAACACCTTTTCCACCAGTCTGTGAACTCTATCAGAGTCGAAGCCTAAGCCTTGTTCATCAAATCTGGCCTGGAAAGTGTGCATTCCAACTGGAGATTCCCAGAATCGAGATCCCACTGTACAATATATTTAGGCTTTACTAACAAGAATCAAATTACCAAACTGCAATATTATATAGAATATATATAGTATTGCAGTTTATTTCTAGATAACTACTGCTAGTGGCCTGCTCTACACAACATTACAGGCAGAGGTAGTCTAAAATTAGTACAATCCTACACTGGGAGAGTGCATGAGACTGACCCAGGCACTGCCGGGTTCCCCATCTAGTTTAAAATATAAGAATTCTGCATGAACAATAAATTGATAATAAGTCCCCACTTGCTGGCAAAACATTACCATTCATCTTTTCTTTAATATTCAATCAATTTAACACTGTTGTCAGGGACTTATCTTTGCATATACAGTAACCTTAAAAACTAGTACTGTAGTCAGTTGCTCGATCCTCATCATCATCTTTTCCTGATTTGCTTTTTTCCTCCTCCTCTTCATCAAGGTCAACATCAGACTGATCATCGTTAACTTCCTCCTCCTCTTCCTCCTCCTCATCATTACCACCTTCATCTTGTTCACCTTCACTTGTTTCAGCTTCTACTCTGTCAGACTGAAAAAAGAAATGTGAACATTTGTGGGTCTATGTTTCATTTACTCTTTTTTTCTTCATATATTTTGCAAAATTTGTTGAATTATATGCAACACGTATTGCTGATATAAATATAGTATATTAAAAGTATAATAATGTTCAGTCTGCTTGGATGGATAGGGATATACCAAAAAGCATACCCTAAGGTCCAATGCCATGAACCAGGAGTGAATCAAAACTGTGGGGAACCCTCATGCACTGTGATTATCCAAAATGTTGAAATGAGAACATGGTCATATTACAAGTTGAGCATTGTGTGTCTGTTAGGATAATTCTGGTTGACCACTGGAAACAGGATTAATTAAGACCCAAGAGTCTGAATTACGTCAATGACACCCAGTTTGACATTTTCCGAATGTGAGCAAGTAACAGTAGGGAAAAGACGGGTGCCATACAAAGAATACTCGAGAAGTATCATGGAATCACCGCCAAGATATACCATGGAAGACCACAAGCAAGAGCAAGACATCCCTGAGGCAGGTTTCCATAAAGGTCTGCAGATGTACCTCCATAACATTAGGGCTTATAACAAATAAAGCTGACAGAACCAAGAATGTAATTTTCATTGAAGGCTGCCAACAATGAGCTACTTCATCCATGAATCAACAACCTGAACCACAGCTCCAGAAGCTGCATTTATAAGGGATGCAAGCACAATAGCACCCCTACCTCAACCAGGAGCCCAACATACTGTACTCTAGGATAAAAAAAAAACCAGCATTGAATGTAATGAAATGCCATTTCCTGGATAAAGCCCCGGAGGCTTCCTACAGGGAAGGGAACAGAACATGTACGTGGATCTACCGAGAACTCACCAGAAAAGAGAATTTCATTATATGCAACTCTTGATTTCTGAGTGGGCCCCACTCAGTAGCTTCCCACAGATTATTCCCAACAGTGCCTTGGTAGAAGAGGATGTCTGATGAAATAAAACATAATAGCAAAAACCAAAAAAAACAGAAGAGCTGATCTGTCGAAGGGAATGGTAGGAGCAGCAGAGCTTCAGTTTTCAGAACACCAGAAGCATGCCACATACCCATGCACCACATGTGTGTGGCAAAGCCGAGGAACATCCAAGAAGGAACAAGAGCCCAACATATGGCTGGATTGCCAAAAAACCGGCGTTCAATGTAATGAAACATCATTTTCTGGGCGAGACCCAGATACTCCCCGGAGCTTATCCAGGCTGATATGCTAATGTCAGACTTTGGCATCAGTCATGTGTATGGAGTTCTTATGGGCCTAAAGGGAACCATGAGAAAGAACCTGGCCCCCTCAGAAGAGGCAAGGGGAGCAATGGCCTATAGAAACCCCTGTGTGGTTGGAAGCATTCTATGTCTGCCATCGACCTGGTCAGGTACCCAGAAAGATAAGTATCCCAAAACAAACCTCTATTCTGGTGAAAATATTGCTACCATAAGCCGAACAAGTGGATAGAACTCTCCTAAAAGAAACGAGCAAACGATCATGACGTCACACGTCGCCGCGCCGCTGTCTGTGCAGCTCCCCCGTCCCCAGGAGGGGGAAGAGGAAGCCCCAGACCAACCACACCGGCTATCCACCCTTAGTTCTTAGTCTGGATGTAAAAAACGCGCAAAAAAATTAAAAAAATGTAAACTAGGGAGACAAAACACCCGAGTACCCAAAGGGCGGCCGAAAAACCGAGCAGTTAAACGGACCCACAGAGGCAGACCCCGAGAAACTTGTGGAAGGTATACCCCAAGCTCCAAGGGCAGTACTTACAGGGCACCTAGGGAAGGGAACCCTAGGCGCATGCAGCCCGAGTACTGAAGAATAACTCCTGGCTCTCGCACCCCTGGAGAACAGCTGCCACCCACAAGGCACAGCGCTGTAAAAGTCTGGAGCCAGAGCACACAACCACTGCCTATAGCATTAGCCTCAAGAACTGGGGTGTGGATCGCCGGTGCGGTAGGTCTGGGGCTCACCCTTCCCCCTCCCGGGGAGAGGGGACCTGCGCAGACGGCAGCGCAGCAACGGGTGACGTCCCACTAGTTTGCTTGTTTTTGTTTTGGGAGTTCTATCCACTTCTTCGGCTTTTTGGTAACAATATTTTCACCAGAATAGAGGTTTGTTTTGGGATGCTTACCTTTCTGGGTGCCTGACCCAGTCGATGGCAGACACACAATACTTCCAACCACACGGGGGCTTCTCTAGGCCATTACTTCCCTTGCCTCTCTTAGGGGGCCAGGTTCTGGCCATGGTCCCCGGATAGGCCCAAAGAACTCCATACACACATGACTGATGCCAAAGTCTGACATTAGCATATCAGCCTGGTAAAGCTCTGGGGAGCTGTAGGGGCTCCCCCCAGAAAAGTTATGAATGTTTTCAAATGGTAGAGTATACTGTTTTCACATTCGGAAAAATGGGTGCATTTAAATCCAAAGGAGCCTTTTCCATTAACAATATAACCCAAACATCACTCCTCCTACCTGTCATTATCAACATGAAACTGCTTTATTACCTGAGAAAGTATTTCTTTCCCATGCAGATCTCTGTTCTTCAAGTTACCCATCCAAAAAGCATTGCAACACTTGTTGAGAGCAAGCATAGCCTTGACCCGATACACCAGCATCTCCAGCGACTTCTTGACCAGTGGGACATAACGGGTTAAAGTTGTATCTTGATTGACCTACAAGAGATTAAGAAAATATAAAAAACTAGATATATTTTTATCATAACCACACAAGAGTGGTTATATTTCTCAAGACATGAAAAAGTGAAGTAATGAAATAAGGGGTACAATAATTACAGGACTTATGTTGTGAATACAGTGTGTTAATATGAGTACTGTACAGGAAATAAAATGAGTATATGTAAATCAATGAGATAAGACTGATGTAATGAGTGCAAGCTACTGTAAAGTGAGTGGGATAAAGTGGTCATGCTGTTGTGTAGCAATGGTAGTGTATTAGAGGTGTTTTGGGAACTTGGTATTGTAGTAATTTTGTGATGGAGTGATGCACTGTCAACTAAATTTGTCACCAGTCACCAGACCACTTGTTACCAGACACAGTCTTCAAGTTTTGTCATATTTGTCATTAAAGTTATGTATAGAGTTGGCTTGATTGCTACAAACAGGACTAGAATATATTTTCAAAACATCCAAGGGGGATATTCCCATTAATCTTGGTTTGTAACCAAAATTAATGGGATTATCCCTAGGCATCTACTCACTAATAAGAACTATAAAGTATTCCTTTGGAGGGATACCTCATTAATATGAATGCTGACATGTCAATTATCACTGCAATTACAAATAAGATCAATTATTTTATTTAAAGAGTTATTTACCTTGGAGTGTGTACACACATGCTGTAAAACTCTTGTTGAACCCTGAAGGCTTTTCATGAGGGTAACCACCTCTTGATTGTGCAGGCGTAGGGATTTGTCCATCAAAGGCATAGCACTGCGCAGGAAAAGCTCCAGAAAAGAGCGCGCATACTGTAAATATAATAACATTCATATAAATAACACTCAAGACAACAGACAAAATTATGTATACGTGTTATGACTTGGATTATATACTCTACCTCATTCTTTTCCATACAGTCGATAAGTTGGTTTCTCAGCGCCCTTATAAAAACCTCAACCCTCCCACTACCCAAATCCTATATATGCTTTTGGCCTAATGCTCCCCGGAGCTATACCGGGCTGATGTGTATATATTAGACCATGACAATAGTCAATCAATGGAGTTCTAGGCCTACTGAGGACCACAAGCCAGAACCTAACCCCCTCAGAGAGGCATGAGGAGCAATGGCCTAAAGACACCCCCATGTAGTTGGAAGCAGTCTATGTCTGCCATCTACCAGGTCAGGCACCCAGAAAGGTAGGAATCCCAAAACAAACTACAGCTGGTTAAAAATTGCAAACCAAAAGCCAAACGAGCAAGCAGAACTCCCCAATCAGAAAACAAGCATACAAGCATGACGTCTCCAAAGCCGTCATGCCACTGTTTGTGCAGTTTCCCCCTTCCTGGGAGGGGAAAGGGAGAGCTCCAGACCTCTTGTGCTGGCTACCCAACCCCAGTTCTTAGGCTGTTGTGTTAGGTGGCGGTCGATCGACTCTGGCTCCAATCCTTGAGCAGTGCTGTGCCTTGTGGTGTTGTGGTGCAGTGTGGTGGTGTGTGAGCCAGGTGTTATTCCAGAAGTACTTGGGCTGCATGCACCTACGGTTCCCTTCCCTTTCCTAGGTGCCCTGTAAGTACTGCCCTTGCAGTTTGGGGTTACCTTCCACAAACTGTTCGGAGCTACCACCACATGGTTCTTTTGCTGCTTGGTGATTGCCAGTCCTTGAGGTCAGCTGGGTTTTTTTCCTACCCCTGTTTGACCTTTTGTAGGAGGTAGCATCGTTGCTGGCAGGGGCGCAAGGTACTGTGCAGCTGTCTTATAATACGCACAGCGACCGGTTCTGTTCCTCCTGGAGACGTTGTGCTTTTGTGAGCTGTTTATTTTCTTTTGTTTTGTTTTACCTGGTGGGGGTCTGCCTAGTGTAGCTGTAGGACCACTTGTATGATTTTGGTGGCCCTCCGCTAGGTCCCCGTGATTGCACATGTAGCAGGGGTTCAGCATTTCCTTTGTTTGTTTGGTAGTTCTGGGATAAACGGTTAGCAGTACCTTGCCTGGGCTTCCCTTAGCAGTCAGCCTAAGGGCCCTGGAAACCCCCATTGGGGCTCACTGGTCCAATGGATGTGTCCTCTGAGTCCCATCTCGCTTCATGCGAGTTTGAAGGATGCTCTGTCTCCTTGTCTCAGGGTGACACATACTGTATTTGCCTCCACCATGCTGCTTGTTGGGTCAGTGACACCTTTGACCAGGAGTCCTGCGAGTGGTGTACCTTGCTTGTACTTAAATTCATCCAGTCTGCTGATATTGATAATCATCCTGCCCCCACCTCCCCCTTCCCCTGCTCACAGCTCCCTAACATCTGAGGGTTTTGGAGTTGGGGCAGGGCTTTCTCGGTGGTGAGACTCTTTCGAGTCGTGCCGGACTCTAAACACAACACATGATGCACCCCCGGCCAAGAAAACCAAGCACCAATCACCCAAGGACCCCTCCTTGCCTGCCGTCTCGTTCTTTACTAGAAAAGGAGGAGACAGTTGCAACCGAACAAATCGTCCGCCAGGACCGAATGAGCAGAGTCCCCTGCGCTGGAGGAGAGCCTGAAGCTCACTTATCCAACCCCTAAAGGCTAACACCAACCGAAACAAAGCCTTCTGAAAACAGTCATGGGCCGAAGGGGCCACAACAATCCGAGACGAGAGAAAAAGAGCACCCGATCCAAGGACCACATTGGCTCAGGGGTTGGCTCAGGTAGCGCATAAGTAGATCGGAAGTGAAACAAAGTATGAGAAATTCTACGGAACAGGAAAGAAATAACATCTACCCCGAATGCAAGCTGGAGCGGCTCCGCCATTATTACACGAAATGAGGCGACAGTATTTGGCATAAGATGATGGTCCTGAAAGAGCCAAGAAAGGACAAAACAACCCAAGCAGAAACAGAAGACAACCTACAAAGAGAGAGGAAATGGTGAAAAGAACTCCAAGAGACTTCATACTATCGCCGAAATGAAGACCTCAGGTGGGGACACCATCAACGAAGCTACCTGATCACCATATAAGTGGTGATACACACGCATCAAAAAGACCAGACGCAAAGAGTGGAGGAGGACCAGACCATGGGGACACAAAGCCCCAAAATAATCACAAGGTAATCGCAAGGTAAGAGGAGATCGAACCAGCCAGGTACCAGATTGGCCTGATCTGATGGAAGAGGTGGAGCTGCGGAAAATGCCCCGGGTTTGGAAACCTAGCAAACAGCTACTGAAACAGTGGTTGAACTGTTCACCACGAGGCCACAAGAACGACTCTCCCACAATAAGAATCCAAACAAGCCAGAACCTGATGCAACAGCTGGACCTGTGGGAGAGGTACAGGTAACCCCACCTCGACCAGTCCTGCAGAAAAGCGTTCACCACGACGGCTCCGCAGTTAGGGAAGGGCGCCACATATATCAGGAGACACCGGGATCACGCCAATGAGAAGAGGACCACCACTGGGGGGCCCCATACGTCTGACAGAGCCAACTGATGGAGTCGGCATCGACTGGCCATTCAATGGACAGGGAAATGAACCGCGACAGGGTCAGGATGTTGGACACTCCCCAGATGTGAACTGCACAGAGAGCTAAACCCCAAAAAACTAGCAGAAGAGTCACTCGAATCGACCAACCCCAAAGAGCCAAGGACTGAAGAGGACCCCCCCCCCCCCCCGCAGTTCAGACAACGAACTGCTGGGGCGCAGTCCGAATGGAACCTGATCGTAGAGATCCGAGCGATCCGAACCCGCTGCAGCGAAAGCCACACCTCCACACACTCCTACACCGTGCTGTGAGCTCGACGGATGGACAGACCCCACCGCCCCTGCCGGCCTGATGAGCACTGGTCACAAAACCCCAGCAGAGAGACAAGGCGTCCGTCAACACATCGAGCAAGGGCTCTGGTAGGCTCCAAGGCACTGAACCCCGAAAAACCCGATGAGGACGCCGGCGGTGCAGAAATTGACGAAAGGCTGACGAGGACCAAACCTAGAGGTTGCGAGAGAGGCAAAAGGGACTGCCCTGAAGGAACCAGAACAGATGCTGAAGCCAGACCTGACCTAGTGGGTAAACCACCACGGCGAAGTTTAGACTTCCGCACAGCTGTTCAAGCAACCGCCAAGTGACCCACGACCCCCCTCCCCCTCAGGAACAGCTGAGGACAGGATTGCAACTGCAGCAATGCCAAAGGAGGGAAGACACGGAAGCGGTCCTAGTCTCTCAAACAAGGCCTAGCCAGGTCCGAACCAGGGATGGAACCAGATGGGACTTCCTCCAGTTCACCAAGAACCCAAACCCGGCGATCTGGGAAAGAACCACTCCCTTGGCGAGCAGACAAGCAGAATGACTGGGATGGTCAGTCACCAACCAGTCGTCAAGGTGGCCAGAACTCGAAACCCTAGCAGAAGAAGATGGTCCACCACAACCCGGGTAAGATGTGCAAAAATGCAAGAAGCCAGATTCAGACAAAATGAAAGGCAATAAAAGTGGTAAGCTTGTCGCCCTACAGTGAATCCTAACCAATTCCTGAACCCCCGGATGAATAGGAACGTGCAAATAAGCTCTCTTGACGTCCAGAGAAATCATCCAAGCATCTGGCTTGAGAAGAAGCCAGATCATGGAAATCGTGGTCACCCGAAAAGCAGAGCAAGGAATCAACCGGTTCAAATGGAACAAGTCCAGAATGAATCAAAGATCCACACAGTTCCGTTTTGGAAAAGGAAATAAGCAAGAAACTCCCTTGAGTGACGAAGTCGTTTCGACCATGCCCAAGCAAACCCACTTCAAGATGACCCGACAGAAACGGGAAACAAGTCTGCCCCACCATCCCCGAACACCCGAGAGGAGGAGCCCACCCAATGCCACCAAAGGCCAAAAGAGATGACCCAAAATGCCCACGAATTGTGGGACTAAGCATGGGCAAACAGAGACAGCCTTCCCTCCATTGCGCCGTCAATGGGGCAATGGGTCAACATAGACACCGTTTCCTAGAGGATCGGTGCAAACAGCTTCAGCTTGGTAGCCGATGCCTTGGCAGCCGAAACCAGAACCCCAGCCGAAGGCCCAGCACTCAATGCCCCTCCGAAAGCCAGTCTGAGGACAACTCCAGCAGTCTAAAGAAGCGCAAGACCGAGACCAAGTGACCGTAAGCTTGATGGTTATCCACTGCCAAGGCAGCTAAAAGAGAGGGAACCTGAGCATGAAATTGCAGCAAACCTACCTCACGAGAAAGTGCAAGGGAACAAAGAGGCACTCATTGAGGAACTCCATTGAGCCCCCAAAGAATACCTGCAACACCGAGGTAACCTCCTGCCACTTAAGCATGCAGGTACAACAAAACCCGTGCCAAGTTCCAAGCGAAAAAAAAGTGCAGTCAGCCAGCCAGGAAGACTCCGGAACCTCATAGTGCACCCAATTCAGGGAAGAAGAACCGAACTCAAAAGAAGCCGGATCCATGATAGAGGTGTAACCCGGGTCTCGCAGGAGGTAATCACCAAGAACCTCCTGGACCTCTGCAGGAGAAATCCAAGAGGCAGAAAACCCCCGGAAAGACAAATCCGAGGAACCCAAAGACACCTGGAGACGAACCCGGGGAGAGCCACACCCATCTCAAATTCATACAGAGAAGTCGGATACGAAAACCCTCGCTCCTGCATCAACAACCCCTGCCCCAAAGGTATTAAACCCCAGGCAGTGTCAAAAGGAGCCTACTAGCTCCAACCGGACTGCCCACGCCCTGGGATCCCCAGACGCAAACTAACCCTAGATGCAAACTTTTCCTCCATGGAAAAGAATCCTCATCCACGCCCATCACCCCTGAAGAAAAAGCAGAGTCTAGGAAGAAAACCCTCAAAGAAGGGGGGGTCTGCCAGGTCAACCCAAAAGCCGTGGTGGGATAATCGGGCTCAACCACCTCTGTACCCGAATCAGAAGGGGCAATTCCCCGAAGCCAGCCGAGTCTCATCCCAAGCTCAACCTCGCCCCGACCTCAAAACCCTCAGACGTTTGGGAGCTGGCAGTAAGGGGAAAGGAGCAGGGTAAACCACGCCCACCTAGGAAGGAAGTGGGGGCGCGGACAAAACCAGTCGATGTGACTAACGCCCTCAAATCGTGTTCCTGGGGGCTTTCAATCGGGCAACCAACCTGGCTAATTGCAACAAAGAATACCTAACATGCATTGCAGCCGCCACCTAACTCCTAAGATCTTCAGACAAAAAATGAGTGAACTGGAACACAAGCGGAGAGCAAGTCCAGCCCAACTCCAGGTTGAAGGTGTCACCGACCCAACAGGCAGCATGAATGATCATCACACTGAGACAGGGGCAACAAACAACCCTCAACCTCGCACAAGGCAAGAGAGGACTCGGAAGATGAACACATGCTCACCCCAAGCCCCTAGGGGTTTTCCAGGGCATGCAGGTGGGAGTAACCCTACAGGGAACCCAGGTACTGGGTTAGCAATGTCGGTTGAACTCAGTCTAATACCAGGCAAACTAACCCACAGAAGCAGTCGTGAAACCTTGAGAGTACCAGAGGAGGACCCTCAAACTCAAAACACAACCTAGGCAGAAGTAGTGGGAAGCTAGGCAGACCTCCTCCAGCCAAAATAGAAAGAAAACAAAATCCTCGAAATCCCACAAACAAGCTGGAAGTCAAAGGGAATCGCGGCCGCCACATGTTTGCAGGCTGTGCCGACTATAGTGCGCCCCACCTAGCAACAATCACTTCCTACCCAGGGCTAGACAAAGCCCCAAGATCCCCGCCCAACCCCAAGGGCAAGGCCAACACCAAGCGACGAAGACCCCCAACGGGATTAAGTCCCAAATGCCCCAGGGAAGAGAACCCTGAACACGCAAGGGTAGTACTTACAAGACGTCTGGGGAAGCTAACCCTAGATGCATGTTGCCTTGCATACCAAAGAACACCTGGCCATCACAACCATCCCTCAAAGCTGGCACAGCCACACAAGGCAAAAATCCAGATGGAAAGTGAGGCCAGAGGTAACATGTGCCACCATGCTCATCAGTCTATGAACTGGCGGGTGGAGCTGCCGGCTCACAGGTTAGGCAGGCTCCCCCTCCCCCTTGTGGGGGAAGGGGGGGGGAGAGATGCACGGGTGCAGGGTGCACTAGTTGGATGACGAGTTGCTTGTTTCTTTTTCTTTTTTTGGGAGGATTTCTTTGGCTCTGTTCAGATATAGGTTGCAATTTTCACCACTTGGAGGTTCATATTGTTTTGCCCGGTCAATGGCAGAAATGACATAAAGTACTCTAAATGTAGAGTGCTCATATGGTCCATGTGCCTCTCTGAAGGGGCCAGCTTCTGGCTCGTGGTCCCCGGTAGGCAGATCTCCCGTAACTGATCTCTCCTTGTGATGTGATGGTTTCAGGGCTTAGTCTCCCCGCGGCCCGGTCATTGCCCAGGCCTCCTCGTTGCTAAACTGGTCAAACAGCCTATTGGATGCAGCTGGTCGCAGCCTGGTTGATTATGTATCCTTTGGAGGTGTTTGTACTTACAAGGCATCTAGGTGTGCCAAGACCTCCTAGAGAAGGTGTGGGTGTAGACCTGCACCTTGGGGAGGTGGAGGTGTAGACCTGCACCTTGGGGAGGTGGAGGTGTAGACCTGCACCTTGGGGAGGTGGAGGTGTAGACCTGCACCTTGGGGAGGTGGAGGTGTAGACTGCACCTTGGGGAGGTGGAGGTGTAGACCTGCACCTTGGGGAGGTGGAGGTGTAGACCTGCACCTTGGGGAGGTGGAGGTGTAGACCTGCACCTTGGGGAGGTGGAGGTGTAGACCTGCACCTTGGGGAGGTGGAGGTGTAGACCTGCACCTTGGGGAGGTGTAGGTGTAGACTTTACAAAACTACTAAGTACATATCAGTCTGGATAGCTTCAAGGAGCCAACAGGGCCCCCACAGAAAAACTTTACTGTACTGCATAATAAATCTGTTGGTAAATACTTGGCTGATGAACTAAACAAGAGAATTGCCTCTTGACATTTCAGTGTAAAAACAATTATTTAAATTTTTAAGTAATAACTGTTAACATTAATACTGTACTGACCTTTAAGCATGAACTCAATAAATGCCTGGAGTTATTCTTCTTCAGAATCATAATAAGAGTATGAAAGATCTTGATAGCAGTGTCCCACACAAGTAAACGCTGCATGTTATCATTTGATGTTGAGCTTATAGCTGAGAGAGACTTCTTGGTTCCACTCACCAAAAATGAAATCATACTGCGATAATACGTTCCTAGCGTGCCCCTAAACAAAAACGATAATATGATTAGCGAAAGTTGAAATTCCAGGCATTCTAAGTTGCAACAAATTCCCTTATCTATCATGATAACCACCTGTCACACTTTCATAGGTTGGGATGCATTAACCTAAGGAAAACAATGAGCAATATGGGTAAACTGCACTTGTCCATTAATTATATCATTTACACTACATAGCACCATTGTTAAAGAAAAAACCACCACGCTCCAGTAATTATCCACAGCAGTTACCCACCACTTCATAAGACCAGACAAGTACAGTATAGTACGTTCCCTTCGTTCTTCCACACCGCTGGCACCTAGTTTCATTCCTTACAATATTCTGTGCACTGTTCACACTAATCCCTACTCCATAACACAAAATGTCTGCCCAACATCTTCACAGACTTTCTTTCCTTCTTGTACCTTCAAATTCACTTGAATACTACACACACAGTGATTTTAGGAGGATAGGTAAATTTGAGAAAGACAAGAACTGCCCCTTAAGGGTGACTTTTAATGGAGTGAAGTATGACAGAAATGCTTCAGAATACAGTGGCACCTCGACTTATGATTGCCCTGACTTACGATAATTTCGAGTTACGATATGAATTTGCTCAGAAAATGCGACTCGACTTACAATAACTTACGATAGTGTCGTCGACTAACGTTTTTTGTTAATACACGTTTGGGTCGACCGAGCGCATGGTCCACGGTCGTGCGGGCCGACCTGCCTCAGTTTACTAGAGCCGCCCGCTGAGCGACGATCACGCTTATAAGAAATTCTATTTTTTTTGGTGATTTTTTGCTTTTTGAACATAAACTGATTATTATATATCATGCCATGGGTCCCAAGAAAGTCAGTGGTAAGGTTCAACATATGAAAACCCATGTAAGGATGACCATAGAGCAAAAACAAGAGATCAATCATGAATATGAAGATGATGTGCGGGTTGCTGAACTAGTAAGGCAGTACAACAAATCTCCATCAACGATATACACCAAACTTGCTAAGAAAAAGGACATTATGAGTGCTAAAGTGGCAAAAGGTGTATCAATAATCACGAAACATAGAACACAAACACTTGAAGATGTTGAAAAGTTGTTATTAATTTGGATACACAACAAGGAGTTAGCAGGTAATTACCTAAGTGTAATTACCTAAGTGTAGTTACAGGATGAGAGCTACGCTCGTGGTGTCCCGTCTTCCCAGCACTCTTTGTCATATAATAAGGTGTCAGGTGATAAGGTGATAGTGTTTCAGAGGCCATCATTTGTGAAAAGGCAAGAAAATTGCATGAAGACCTTTTAAAAAAAACCCTGGAACGAGTGATGCAAATGCAAAAGAGTTTAAGGCGAGCAGGGAATGGTTTGAGAAATTTAGAAAAGCAGTGGCATTCATAGTGTTGTGAGTGTTGTGTGTTGCACGCTGGTGGAGGAACACAGTGAAGAACTGACCACCGAAGAACTTCGCAAGGAGCAGCAACAAGACAACCAGAGATAGCCGAGGAAATTTCTTCAGGAGAGGAGAAGACATTACAGAATGTTCCTTCCTCATTAATTAAGAAAATGTTTGCAGCATGGGAAGAATTGCAAACTTTTGCTGAAACGACTCACCCAAATCACGGTGCAGTAGGCCGTTGCCTTAACCTTTTTAATGAGACTGATGCCTCACTGCAGACAAAAATTAAAACAAATGGAAAACAAAAATCTATGGAAAGGTTTTTAGTGAGACAAACAAGCAGTGAATCACAACCAGGTCCTAGTGTTATGCAGGCAAATGTAGGAGAGTCTGTACCACAGAGAAGTCATCACTGCCTTATGTTATAATGGAAGGGGACTCCCCTTCCAAACAGTAACACTTCTCCTCCTTCCCCTCATCACCATCTTCCATACGCCATCAAGAGTCCACCATAAAGGTAAGATAAACATATGTACTGTACTGTAGTTAGAGAAAACAAATGTATTCAGTATAAAATGTACTTTTAAGTTAATATTTTTGTGGGTGTGAAACGGATTAATTCAATTCCCTTTATTTCTTATGGGAAAAAATTGTTTCGACTTACGATACGTCTCTGGGACCGGATTGCCATAGTAAATCGAGGTCCCACTGTACCAGAAAATTGCAATGTGAAGAGGCTGGCAAACTTTGGTCAACAAGACAAGACCTCTCAAAAGAGGATAGAGTCTGGACACACTATACCAGCCAAATCGTTCGCTATGGTGAACAAATCATGCAGATACTCATATAACATCTGTATATAGTGAATAAAAGCAGAAAACAGTATGTTGGGAAGAGAAAGTTAAGAAACAAAAGAAAATGAGAAAAGAGAAAGAGAAAGATAAAAAAATTTTTTCATGGGTATAATTAGACAGACTTGTTGCTAGGCACGAAAGTAAATGCCAAATTTTGTGAAATATACGATGAAGGCACACAACATTCATACCAAAACAGACATGCAGACCTAGGAAACAGGGTTGGTTCAACAGAAATTGCACGAGGGCCAAAGATCAAAAGACACAAGCATGGAATCATTATAGAAAGAGGCCAAACCCCCAAACATACTAGCGATACAAAGATGCAAGAAACAACTACACGTCAGTAAGGAGAGAGGCAGAGAGGAACTTTGAGAGCGGTATAGCAGACAAATGTAAATCAGATCCAGGCCTTTTCTATAAATTCATTAAAAGCAAGCTGCAGGTAAAGGATAATATTCGGAGGTTGAAAATGGGGAACAGATACAGGAAAAATTAAAAAGAAATGTGTGAAACATTAAAAGAATAGTTCCAAAGTGTGTTTGTACAAAATGAGATCTTCAGAGAACAAGACACAATAAGAATTCCAGAGAACAGCATAGAGCACATAGAGGTGTCTAAGGACGAAGTGAAACGAATGCTCTTGGAGCTAAGTAAGAACAAAGCAGTTGGCCCAGATGGAGTTTCACCATGGTTTACCTTGAAGTGTTTCCGGGGCTTAGCGTCCCCGCGGTCCGGTCGTCAACCAGGACTCCTCGTTGCTGAACTGGTCAACCAGGCTGTTTGATGCGGCTGCTCGCAACCTGATGTATGAATCACAGCCTGGTTGATCAGGTATCGTTTGGAGGTGCTTATCCAGTTTTTCTCTTAAACACTGTGAGGGGTCAGCCAGTTATGCCCCATATGTGTAGTGGAAGCATGTTGAACAGTCTCGGGCCTCTGATGTTGATAGAGTTCTTTCTCAGAGTACCTGTTGCACCTCTGCTTTTCAACGGGGATATTCTGCACATCCTGCCATGCCTCCTGGTCTCATGTGATGTTATTTCTGTATGTAGGTTTGGGACCAGCCCCTCTAATATTTTCCACATGTAAATCATTATGTATCTCTCCCACCTGCGCTCAAGAGAATACAGATTTAGGCTCTTTAGTCAGTCCCAATAGTTTAGATGAGTGGATTCTAGCAGTAAAGGATCTCTGCATGCTCTCCAAGTCAGCAATTTCTCCAGCTTTGAAAGGGGCTGTCATTGTGCAGCAGTACTCCATTCTTAGAGAGCACTAGCTTCTTGAAAAGTATCATCATTGGTACAGCATCTCTAGTGTGAAAGTTCTTGTTATCCAACCTGTCATTTTTCTTGCAGTTGTGACAGGTACTTTATTTTGTTCTTTGAAGGTAATGTCTTCCGACATAAGTACACCCAAATCCTTTACGTTGTCTTTTCATTCTATGTTATGATATAGGGTTATGATATAGGGTTCTGAGAGAATATGCACCTGAGCTCAGAATCCACTTCAGCTGATTTTTCAGACATCCCTGTGTACAGGAGTTGTAGCAGATGTGTGGAAAACGCTAACGTAGTTCTAATCTACAAAAGTGGCAGCAGGGAAGACCCCCCTCAATTATTGACCTGTATCATTGACAAGTGTAATAGTCAAAATATTGGAAAAAATAATAAAATCTAAATGGGTAGAACAACTGGAGAGAAATGATATAATATCAGAGAGAGAGTATGGTTTTCGATCTGGAAGATCCTGTGTATCGAATTTACTCAGTTTCTATGATCGAGCAACAGAGATATTACAGGAGAGAGATGGTTGGGTTGACTGCATCTATCTGGACCTAAAAAAGGCTTTCGACAGAGTTCCACATAAGAGGTTGTTCTGGAAACTGGAAAATATTGGAGGGTAACAGGTAACTTCTAACATGGATGAAAAATTTTCTGACTGGTAGAAAAATGAGGGCATTACCTGGTTGATACCTGGTTGATGGGGTTCTGGGAGTTCTTCTACTCCCCAAGCCCGGCCCGAGGCCAGGCTCGACTTGTGAGAGTTTGGTCCACCAGGCTGTTGCTTGGAGCGGCCCGCAGGCCCACATACCCACCACAGCCCGGTTGGTCCGGCACTCCTTGGAGGAATAAATCTAGTTTCCTCTTGAAAATGTCCACGGTTGTTCTGGCAATATTTCTTATGCTTGCTGGGAGGACGTTGAACAACCGCGGACCTCTGATGTTTATACAGTGTTCTCTGATTGTGCCTATGGCACCTCTGCTCTTCATTGGTTCTATTTTACATTTTCTTCCATGTCGTTCACTCCAGTACGTTGTTATTTTACTGTAGATTTGGTACTTGGCCCTCCAGTATCTTCCAGGTCATTAATCAAAGGCAATGTATCGGACTGGAGAAATGTCACAAGTGGAGTACCACAGGGTTCAGTTCTTGCACCAGTGATGTTTATTGTCTACATAAATGATCTACCAGTTGGTATACAGAATTATATGAACATGTTTGCTATGATGCTAAGATTGTAGGAAGGATAAGAAACTTAGATGATTGTCATGGCCTTCAAGATGACCTGGACAAAATAAGCATGTGGAGCACCACTTCGCAAATGGAATTTAATATGTAAATGTCAATAAAATGCCATGTAAATATGGAATGTGATAAAGAATAGGAGAACATAAGACCCCACACATGGGTTCGTATCCTATAATATTATGAGAGAAATCTTTAAAAACGTCTGAGGGGATCGTAAGGGACCATAGAAAGAGATCTAGGGGTGGTTCTAGATAGAAAACTATCTCCTGGGGGCCACATAAAGAACGTTGTACGAGGAGCTTATGCTACGCTTTCTAACTTCAGAATTGCTTTTAAATACATGGATGGCGAAATACTAAAAAAATTGTTTACGACTTTTGTTAGGCCAAAGCTAGAATATGCAGCGGTTGTGTGGTGCCCATATCTTAAGAAGCACATCAACAAACTGAAAAAGGTGCAAAGACATGCTACTAAGTGGCTCTCAAAACTGAAGGGCAAAAGCTAAGAGGAGAGGTTAGAGGCATTAAATGTGCCAAAACTAGAAGACAAGAAAAAGAGGTGATATGATCACTATGTACAAAATAGTAACAGGAATTGATAAAATTGATAGAGAAGATTCCTGAGACCTGGAACTTTAAGAACAAGAGGTCATAGATTTAAACTAACTAAACAAAGATGCAGAAGAAATATAAGAAAATTTACTTTCGCAAACAGTGGTAGACGGTTGGAACAAGTTAGGTGACAAGGTGGTGGCGGCCAAGACCGTCAGTAGTTTCAAAGCGTTATATAACAAAGAGTGCTGGGAAGACGGGACACCACGAACGTAGTTCTCATCCTGTAACTACACTTAGGTAATTACACACTTTATTAGTCCACCATCATCCATTTGTTCAACATGCTCAAATAATCTCGGTACATTATCCTTAATCTTGCTATTTATCAACTTTTGGTCTTTCATCTGTCCATTAAATTTACATTCCTTATCTACCTATTCTAACATCACATATTTCAAAGATTATGAATTTCTTCTCTAATTCTTGATTGTTCAAGTTGATACTAAATAATCATTTTACTTCTATAAAGGAGGGTAGGTACTACCTCTCATGCAGCTCTGTGGCTGCATATCTGTGTCTGTCTGTCTGTCTATCTGTAAATTTATTTCAGATTTTCTTTCATCCTCTGCCACTGACTTTTTATTTTGCTCTACCTTCACTTTTAAGTCTATACACCAATACAGCTTGCAAGTAGTCTAGAACAAAATGTTAGGAATCCATAATCGTTTATTACTAAGGTATTTTAATATGGAACCCAGGATGTACAAAAGGAACCCAGGATGTACAAAAGGAACCCAGGATGTACAAAAGGAACCCAGGATGTACAAAAGGAACCCAGGATGTACAGAAGTGATTCATCAATACAAGCACATGACAAGATACACAATGTCAACAATGCCGTTGTAAACCCACCAAAATCATCAAGCAAGCTACATTCCTTAGATATATATTGTATCCAATCAACCTACAAGTAGATAACAAAATCAAGCCAAATCATACTTGTTGAGAGTGGGGAGAGCTTCTGAGTATGGATCACGACCAGTAGCCTTCATAAATTCTTCAAGAGGCCCAGTACAGATATTTTCTATCAATACCAAAGGGGTCTTGCTCTGTTGAAAATATTCCTGTAAAAATGCAATATATAAATTACTCTAAAATATTTCTTAGGATATTATATACAGTCAATTATAAAGTTAACTATAGAATTAAAAGCATGGTTTATATTATGTTGACACTTAGGGGAAAACTGCAAAGTGTTAAAACTATATTATGACAAGGAGGTAAAGTGTCATTAAACAGTGATTATATTATCATTAGTGACAATGGTTACCCTCAAACAGTGGTAAAAGTATCATTAGACAAACTGGCAAAAGAATCATTTGACAATGTGGTAAAAGGTACCATCAGACAAAAGTAAGGAAGAGACACCAAAAGAATTGTCACCATCAGGTGCACCACCACGCCATAGCATTAGTTTTGGAATACAGCGGCACCTCGATTAACGAGTTTAATCCATTCCAGCACCAAGCTCGTCATGTGGAAAACTTGTCTTGCGAAACAACAAAACTGTTGTCGGAGGTGTCCGAGAACCAGCGGGAATGCTCGTTAACCGAGCGAAAGCTTGTCAGTCGAGACATATTTTCTGTGAGTGCCTCGCTCGTTACTCGAAATGCTCGTAACTGGAGCCGCTCGTCACTCGAGGTTCCACTGTAGTAGTGTACAGGCAGCCCTTGCCTTGTGCAATGTTGAAAAACCTGGCTTAAGTGTTACGTAGATATTTAGTTTTACACACTTTAGAAAAGCCAATGAACAAGTGCTTTTGCCTGTATGCGCACAAAGTTACAAATTGTGAACTAAACTTGTGGTAACTTTTCTTTCCCTAATCTTTGTCATGCATGAATATATTTTACTTTTATTTGTCAAATTACCAAATTGTAAATTTTACCCAAGTGTAGTTTCAGGATGAAAGTTACACTCACAGTGTCCTACTCATAGTGTCCTGTCTTATTATTACAATTTATCATATGATGTTTTGAAACTATCTACAGTTTTTGCATCCACTACTTTCTCATTAATTTATTCTAACCATCTACCACTCAGTTTGCAAAAGTGAACTTTCTAATACATTTTCAGCACCATTATTTCCTTAGTTTGAATCTATAATCTATAACCTCTTCTTCTACAAGTTGCAAGTTTAAAGAATTCCTTTTTGACAATTTTGTTGCACATTCTGTAACTATTTTGAAAATAGTGATCATATCGTTTCTTTTCATTATATCTTCTACCTTTGGTACTGTATATTTAACACAACTAGTGTTCCTCGTAGCTCTTGTTTTTAAGTTCCAGAAGCCAATAAGAGCACGTCTTTGAACCTTCTCCAGTTTGTGTGTATGTTTCTCGAGGTACCATACAACTTCTGCATATTCCAATTTTGGTCTCACAAAAGTTGTGAATAATTTCTTCAATATTTCACCATCTATATATTTAAAATTGATTGTGAAGTTGGAAAGCACAGCATAGGCTCCTTGTACAATGTCATTATGTGGTCCTCTAGTGAGTTAACTATGAAGGATAACCCAGAGACCTCTTTCTTTTAGAGTTCTTTACTCTCTTTTCACATAGTTTGTGTGACCTATATTCTTCTATTCCACATTTCATAATGTGCCATTTATTCATATTGAATTCCATCTGCCAAGTGGTGCCCCATGCACTTATTTTGTCCAAGTCATCGTGAAGGGTATGACATTTGTCTAAGTCTCTTATCTTCCCAAGTACCTTTGCAGCATCAGCAAACATGTTCATATAATTCAGCATTCCTTCTGGATGATAATTTATATAGATAATGCACACTGATGCTTGTTGCAAACAAGCAATGCAAACTTAATGCAAACTGAACCTTGTGGTACTCCACTAATAAAATTTCTCCAGTCTGATACATTGTCTCTGAATACCATCCTCCTTTTTCAGTCATAAAAATGTTCATACATGTCAAGTCTTCCTGCTACTCCACGAGCATGTTTCAGCTTCCAGAACCTCTAGTATGAGACTGTCAAAAGCCTTTCTTTTTAGGCCCAGATAAATGCAGTCAACCCGACCATCTCTTTCCTGCAAGATCTTCATGGCTCTATCATAGAAATCAAGTAGATTTATTGCACAGGATCTTCTTGTTCAAAAGCCATAGTACCTGTGCCTGTTATTAAGTCATGTCTTTCCAGGTATTTGACCCATTTGGTTTAAATGATTTTTCTAGTACTTTGACTATCCCAAATGTCAGTAATACAGATCTATAATATAGAAGATCTTCTCTGCTACCATTTTTGTAGATTAGAACTATGTTTACCTTTTTCTTTATACCTGCCAAGATTCCTGTACAAAAAACCAGCGTTGAATGTAATGAAACGCCATTTTCTGGATGAGCCCCAGAGACTCCCTGGAGCTTATCGGGCTAATGTATGTAATATTAGACCGGAACATTAGCTAAGGAAGAAATATTATAAGAAATATTGCCGGAACAACCATGGACATCTTCAAGAGGAAACTAGATTTATTCCTCCAAGGAGTTCCGGACCAACCGGGCTGTGGTGGGTATGTGGGCCTGCAGGCCGCTCCAAGCAACAGCCTAGTGGACCAAACTCTCACAAGTCAAGCCTGGCCTTGGGCCAAGCTTGGGGAGTAGAAGAACTCCCAGAACCCCATCAACCAGTTAAGATGTCAGTGACCCAACAGGCAACATGATAGAGGTAAAGGTGACGACTGTCACCCAGAGACAAGGGCACAGCAACCAACGATCCCGTACAAGACGGGTTGGAACCGGAAGACACATTCAATAGTCCACCGAGCCCCGACAGGGGTTTCCAGGGCCCGTAGGGTAACAACTACGGGAAGCCCGGGCAAGGTGTTGCTAACCGGTTAAGAAACCCAAAAATAACAAGACAGTAGAGGACAACACTGAAAACCCCTGCAACGTGTACAATCATGGGGGCCTAGCAAAGGGCCGCCAAACACTACCAGTGGAACTATAGCCAAACTAGGCAGACCCCCACCAGGCAAATGAAAATAAAAACAAAAGAAAAACCCTGCAAAAGTACACCATCTCCAGAGGCAACAGGAACCGGTCGCCGCTTAGGTGGCAGGTCGCGCAACACCTCGACGCCCTAACCAGCACAATTCCAGTCCCTACCCCGGGCCAAACAAGGGCCCCAAGCCCCAGCTGGCCCCAAGGGGCGAGGCAAATGCCGAGCAGCAAGAACCTCTACGGGAAAGGTTCCCGAACGCCCAAGGGACGGTAACCCTGTCACGCAGGGGCAGTACTCACAGGGCGCTTAGGGAAGGAAGGTCCTAAGCGCATGCAGCCCTGGTACTGATGAGGAACACCTGGCCACCGCACAACACAACACACTTGCATTCATTACAGTCATTACTAGTCATTACAGTTAAACAATAACTTTCAATTGCAGTGAGATTAAAACAATAAAGTAGTTTTACCTGGAGCAAAGTGTGTACATGCTGGTTGAAAACGGATCCCTTCTCCCTCTCACCATCGCTTCCATACCATTCTCTCTTCAACAGCTCTTCAATCACTTCCACTGAATAACATAAAAATGTAAGAAAAGTGTAATGAAACACATAGTACTTTTTGGGCAGCATATCAGTAGCTCTTCTCAGCTTAAATCCAGGACTAGGGCAAAGTCCCAAGGCACAACCAAGGTAGTGGTACAACTGAAGAGGAACTGAGAAATGCTAAAGGCAGTGTCAAATAGCTTTTGAAAAGATATCTCAAAGACTGAAGACCTTTAATAAGCAGCACCATGCAGTGAAGTGAACATGGAGCCCCCACCCTGCACTGAGCATAAGTGAGATGACAGTTACAAAGTGAGGACTGCTGGCTCTGCCAAAACTGTTGTTAATAGTTAGTAAAATCAGTAACTGGCATTCCTTGTATCTCTCATCATCACTTGCAGGGAATGTTGAGGATACTGCAGCCTCTTATTTTCTGATTGTGAAGTGGTCCCTTAGTGGTGCCTTGAGTTAGATTTGCCACTGTCTTCCTTCTCTAAATTCCTTGATAAGACTAGTTGCAAAGATGCCCCTCACAGTGTGGGGACAAATTCAGTGAAAGCCTGAAAGGTGATGCAAATCCTGGGTTGAGTCCTTAAGGGCTCTGGCTCAAGAAGCATCCAAGAAGCTTAACTAAGAAATTACAGTTTATTAAATATTTACTATACAGGAAAATCACAGTAAAACATTAGCATGCTAACATACCACTTCCCAGCATACTTCCAAAGAAGAATGTAAGAAATATAGGGAAGATTCTTGCCAGAATCATTGATCAAACCATTTGGTTATATTTAGTAACATGTGTCTACAAGACTACTACTAAAATATACTAATACAAATAAATAAATAAAAATAAAAGTTATACATATATATTTTATGACTACCAGAATCTCTTACATTTGTCCTCCAGGTGATACAGTCTATAAGTGCATCTTCAAGATAATCTATAACAAAGACTGTTAAGTTTGTTAGTGGTCGGCTTCCGAGTATTACTTAGAAAAGGTTCAATTTAGTGATTGCAGCTCCGTGCTATATAGCACCATGAAATCAGGTACCGCAGATCTCTGAGTAAATTTGATAAATTTTCATATGATTTAAATTAGTGAGGGATCAGTGAACAGCATTTTCCAGACAATTACACAGAAAGAAAATTGAATTTCCATAACTTACCAAGCTTTTCACTGAAATCTTCATGTTCTGGAAGAAGTGTTAGCACAACTAACGTTTGCACAAGGATGGACGCAGTGCCAATGCTGACAACAGATGCATGGAAATTTGAGATGTATCGAAAAACAGTGGATATCAATTCCTCTTGTCCCATTCCACTTACAACTTCACCTTCTAGCTTCTTGGCAATAGTACGCAGAATAGCTGAAATTTATTTCATAAATGCCTATGACTATTACAAAATTAGTAAATATCTTTTCTAAAATAGCAATTAATTTATTGGCAAAACCCAGAATTGAATGTAATGAAATCCCATTTTCTAGGTGAGTCCTGGAGGCTCCCAAGAGCTATCCAGGCTGATATGTATATATCTCTAACCTTTGGCATCAGTCAGTGTGGACGGAGTTCTAGGCCTACCGGGGACCACGAGCCAGAACCTGGCCCCCTCAGAGAGGCATGAGGAGCAATGGCCTATAGAAATGCACATGTGATTTGGAGCATTCTATATCTGCCATCGACCGGGACAAGCACCCAGAAAGGTAAGCGCCTCAAAACAAATCCCTATTCTGAATAAAACAACGAAAATAGCCAAACAAGTGGACAGAACTCCCAAATGAAAACAAACAATCAAGCATGATGTCACACGAGCTGCGCCACCTGTCTGCACAGCTCCCCCCTCCCCGGGAGGGGGAAGAGAAAACCCTAGACCCACTGGGGCTTCCCAAGTCCCCAGAAAATGGCATTTCACGGCATTCAATGCTGGTTTTCTGGGGGAAGCCCAGAAAAACCTCGTGCCCAAATATCAGCCCAAGACATGTTACCGAAGACGGAAGCAAGAGCAGCAAACTTACCAACGTCATGGGCACGGGGATAGACTGGTTGATACCTGGTTGATGGAGTTCTGGGAGTTCTTCGACTACCCAAGCCCGGCCCGAGGCCAGGCTGGACTTGTGAGAGTTTGGTCCACTAGGCTGTTGCTTGGAGCGGCCCACAGGCCAAACTGCAGGCCGGTTGGACTGAATAACCCTGTGGACAACCCGAGAGACCCGAACCCAGGAACAGGGAAGAAAGGAAACTGGATCAACCCAAAGCGTGTCGCCGGCCACCAAGGTCATGCCACAAATAACAGCGGAGTGCCACAACCGAACACAACACATGATGAACTCCCAGCCTGATCAATCAGGCATCAACAACCCAAGGGCCGCTCCGGAAAGCAGCAGTCTCATTCTTCGCCAGAAAAGAAAGAGACGGCTGCAAGCAAACAAACCTATCACCACGACCCAAAGAGCAAAAACCCCTGCGCCGGAGGAGAGCATGAAGCTCCCCGACCCGATGCCCAGAGGCCAATGCCAACAAGAAAAAAAGCTTTAGAAAAACAATCCTGAACCGAAGGAGCCGCAACGAAATGAGAAGACAAATACGAAAGCACCCTGTCCAAAGACCAGAATGGCTCAGGCGGAGCATGAGCAGGCCGGAGGTGAAACAACGCTCAACACAGCTTGCAAAACGGTGCAGAAGTAACGTCAATAACGAGAGCATGCTGCAGAGGCTCCACCAACACCGCACAATACAAGGTTACAGTACGTGTCAAGACGACGGTCCCAAATCTTTACGAGAGAAAAACAAGACCAAGTCAACAAAAATGCAGGATACCTTTGAAGAGACAAAAAGAAAAGTAAGAACCACCAACAAAACCCCATACTGCCACCAAGACAAAGCACGCAGGTGGGACACCATCAACGAAGCCAACTGATCACCAAAAAGATTTTGAGAGACTTGCGTCAGAATCACCCGACTTGAAGACTCGAGGAGAAGACCGAACCAGCCCCTCCACGGACTAGGCCGTGGACTGAAGGGAAGCCCCACTGGAAGGCTACAGACGTTCCAATAATATTGTAAGTATCGAAGATCTTCCCAAACCTGCGAGAACTTTGATAAACAAGCACAAAATCACGGAAGCACATACGGGCCCATTGGCATCCGTGACCAATATGTATGCAGGATCCAGATACTATTTGAACATGATTGCGACATGATGAAGAATACATTTCCAAGATAAGAAGGTGGAGAAAGCGGTTAAAAGTTCCCTCCGGAAGGACGGAACTGACGGACCTGAAGGGACACAGAACACGGAACTAATATCATCATCATCAGATTGGGTGAACTGAGTCACAAGCAAGCAGCATTGCTCGCAGGACTCATGGTCAAAGGTGTCACCGACCCAACAGGCAGCATGACAGAGGCAAAAACAATGAGCGTCGTCCTGAGACAAGGGGACAGAGCAACCCTCAAAGTCGCCCAAAGCGAGAGGAGACCCAAGGGTGGTCGCATCCATCAGACCCATACGCCTCAGCGAGGATTCCCAGGGGCCCCTTGGACTGGTATCGCTAAGGTTAAGCCTAGGCGGGATACTGCTAACCGGTACCCAAGTCTACCAAAACGAACTGCTAAAGCTGAACCTCTGGGACGTATCCACTCACGGGGGGTGAAGCAGGGGATACCACCAAACACAAAAGGTCAACACCCTAACTAACAGGGGCAAGGGACACAAAGGCAGACCCCACTACCAGGCCAAAACAAAAAGAAAAGAAAAACCCCGCAAGAAGAACAGAGCCAGCCGCTGTAATAGGTGAAAACTAATTGCGCAGTACCCCGTAACCCACCAGTGCAATAAACTACCCCTTACCACAAGGTAAACAAGGGAGGAAAATCCCGGAACAAACTCGGGGCAGTCAATTACCAAGCAGCAAAAGACCACAAAGGTAGACCCCAAGATGACTTGTCGAAGACAACCTCAAGCCCCAAGGGCGGTACTTATGTAACGCGGGTGGGGGAAATGAGAATAGCGAGTAAGTAGGAAGTGAGTAGGAGAAGTAGAAAAGGTAGAAAGGTAGAAGGGTAGATAGAAGTAGAAAGGTAGATAGAAGTAGAAGAGTAGATAGTAGAGGAAGAAAATGCTGCCACCATCCATTCTAGACCATTACATACAAGACAAGGAATGGAACTTGTCTGTATCACAATATTCTCAAATGTTATCAAGGTCATTATTAGTCTGTTCCATCTGTATCATGTACTCATTAACTCATGAAACCAGTAACCACAGAGGCTTTCTCACCTCAACTCAAAAACTCTAGGGAACCAAGTTAAAGACAATTTAAAATAATAAATTCATAATTATATTTCATATGAAGTATCATACTTTAAGCAATTCAAATGTTCAAGAAATATGCAGCGAGTCATCATCCAAGAATTTGAGAACCCTACAACTGACTGCCCCTGATCATCACACAACATATGTAAACACGACCAAGCCACCTTAATGTTCAACTCGCCAAGTGTCTGCCTATAGCTGGATAGAGGGGGGGGGGGAGTCTGCAGCTGTCAGGCAGCGTCACCCCCGTCCGACCGACAGCCTGTCTTGGCTGTTGTCCTCCTCTGCTCTACTGCCTGGTCTATCTGTTAATGCCCTCGAATCGATAGCTCTCCGAGTATATATTGGGAAACCTAGTAGCTAACTCCGCCCACAAGTAGATAGCCTCAGGCACTCTACCAAGCCACTCCTTAAACGTCGGCATGTTTGAAGGCTACCAGGCTCCAATTATAAGATTAGCAGAAGCAAGGTGAAATTCGCATGATCTGACCTCAGGTCACTTGAGGTCATTAACGCTTAGAGGTGTGAGACTCAGGCCGACAACTTGGCGCCTTCTCAAATCCCTGTCTGTGACTCCTGAATCTCTATGTATTAAATAAAACTAAACCAAACACTTTTACAGTGTTACACTTACAGGGCACTCAGGAAAGGTGACCCAAAGCACATGCAGCCCGAGTACCTATGAATATTACTTCCAGTTGCATGCCACCGTAAGAGCAGTACTGAACACCAAGAACATCACAGCAAGAGAATTCGGAGCTGGAGCCACCCGACAGTGCCACAACCACATCAGCCTTAGAACTAATGTTTGGATCGCCGGCACAGTGGGTCTGGGGCTCCCCCTTCCCCCTCCCGGGGAGGGTGGAGCTATACAGACAGGCGGCGCGGTTTGTGTGACATCATGCTTGATTGCTCGTTTTCATTTGGGAAGTTCTGTCCACTCGTTTAGCTATTTTCGTTGTTTTAACAAGAATAGGGGTTTGTTTTGAAGTGCTTACCTTTCTGGGTGCCTGGCTCTGTCGTTGGCAGTTACAGAATGCTACAAACCATATGTGCATTTCTATAGGCCATTGCTCCTCATGCTTCTCTGAGGGAGCCAGGTTCTAGCTTGTGGTCCCCGGTAGGCCTAGAACTCCATCCACACTGATCATGCCAAAGGTTAGAGATATATGCATATCAGCCTGGATAGCTCTGGGAAGACAAAGGGGCTGCCCCGAGATAAGATTTTTAGCAATGCTCCAACATAGATTAAATAGTTTCAGTGAAATATAAAAACTCATATTAAGTTGCTCAATATACTAATACAAATTGGACAGATTTTCCAAAAACGTTTTGGTTTGTGAAGAAAAATTTTGAGGAAGTAGAAATACAACAAGCAATGACTAATATTGACAGTACACTGGCTAATATTATATATCCATAGTATACTGGGTAATATTATTTATTCAAAGTACACTGGCTAACATTATGTATCCTCAGTACACTGGCTAATATTGTGTATCCTCAGTACACTGGCTAACATTATGTATCCTCAGTACACTGGCTAATATTGTGTATCCTCAGAACACTGGCTAATATGTTGTATCCTCAGAACACTGGCTAATATTGTGTATCCTCAGTACACTGGCTAATATTGTGTATCCTCAGAACACTGGCTAATATTGTGTATCCTCAGAACACTGGCTAATATTGTGTATCCTCAGTACACTGGCTAATATTGTGTATCCTCAGAACACTGGCTAATATTGTGTATCCTCAGAACACTGGCTAATATTGTGTATCCTCAGTACACTGGCTAATATTGTGTATCCTCAGAACACTGGCTAATATTGTGTATCCTCAGAACACTGGCTAATATTGTGTATCCTCAGAACACTGGCTAATATGTTGTATCCTCAGTACACTGGCTAATATTGTGTATCCTCAGAACACTGGCTAATATTGTGTATCCTCAGAACACTGGCTAATATTGTGTATCCTCAGAACACTGGCTAATATTGTGTATCCTCAGAACACTGGCTAATATGTTGTATCCTCAGTACACTGGCTAATATGTTGTACCCTCAGAACACTGGCTAATATTGTGTATCCTCAGAACACTGGCTAATATTGTGTATCCTCAGAACACTGGCTAATATGTTGTATCCTCAGTACACTGGCTAATATGTTGTATCCTCAGTACACTGGCTAATATGTTGTATCCTCAGTACACTGGCTAATATTGTGTATCCTCAGTACACTGGCTAATATTGTGTATCCTCAGTACACTGGCTAATATGTTGTATCCTCAGTACACTGGCTAATATTGTGTATCCTCAGTACACTGGCTAATATTGTGTATCCTCAGTACACTGGCTAATATTGTGTATCCTCAGTACACTGGCTAATATTGTGTATCCTCAGTACACTGGCTAATATTGTGTATCCTCAGTACACTGGCTAATATGTGTATCCTCAGTACACTGGCTAATATTGTGTATCCTCAGAACACTGGCTAATATAATACATCCCTGGCATACTAGCTAATACACTACAACACTCCATCCAGGGTACATCAGCTAATATACACAGGTCTATGAGAAGGTCATCAAAATAAGACATGAGAGAAATGGGTGGATTTATTTTCCTTGACTGTCCAAAAACCTTTGATGTCATTCCACTTCAACCCAAGCACTTCCTTTAACTTTCATTGACTATTCAATGATTTACAGGATCAATGTGCACCCCCGTCCCTATGGTCTCTGTCTAGGCCTACTGGTTGGTAGTCTGGTCAACAAGGCTGTTCGATGTAGCTGCAAACAGCCTGACATACGAGTCACAGCCTATTTGATAAAGTATCCTTTGAAGGTATTTATCAAGTTCTCTTTTGAACACTGTGGGAGGTCAGCAGTCATACCCCTTATGTGTCTAAGGAAAGTGTTAAGAAGTCTTGGGCCTTTGATGTTTATAGAGTTTTCTCTCAGCTTATCAATTACACCTCTGCTTTTCAACAAGGCTATTTTACACATCCTGCCATGGCTCCTGATCTCAAGTGATTTTTGTTATTTTTGCATGTAAATTTGGAACCAGTACCTCTAATATTTTTCAAGTGCAAATTATTGTGTATCCTTCCTACCTGTATTCTAGGGAACACAGCCTTAAGAGATTTTATGCAATCTCAATAATTTAGATGATTTCAAGAGGATTCCAGTAGTAAAAGATCTTTGCATGCTCTCCAGGTTAGTAATTTCTCCAGCTCTGAGTGGGGCTGTTAGTGTGCAAGAGTATTCCACTCTTGAGAGCACTAATGTCATAAAAAGTATCATTGGTATGGCATCTCTTGTTTGAGAGGTTCCTGTTACCCAACTTGTCATTTTTCCTTGCACTTGTAACAGGTACTTTATTGAGTTCTTTCAAAGTATGGTTTTCTGACTTGATTACTCCCAAATCTTTTACACTGCTCTTTCTTTCAATATTGTGGTTTGACTGCATTTTATGTGGTTTCCATTTTGATATTTTAGTTTTCTCCATAATGCAGTAGCCTGAACTTATCCTCATTAAACATCACATTATTTTCTGTGTTCCATTGAAAGACCTGATTAACATCAGACTGGAGGTTTGCAGTGTCCTCCATATTATCTACTCTGTCTTGAAAATCCTAGTGTCATCTGCAAAGGAACATACAGTACTATAATCTTATTGCAAACCTCATTTTTTATATACAGTGTATTTCTTTTTGTGCTTCACAAGGTGCATATTCTCATCAGGGTCCTGTGTGTTCCAGTACTGTACCAGTCAGATGTAGGTCGTGTAAATTTTATTGAAAGAGCCTTTCCATACGTTTTTAAATCCATTCTTATGTTTGTCAGCTATCTATATTGCCCGAAACGCTATGCGTGCTAGTGGCTTTACAAGAATGTTAATTCAACTTATTTTCTATATTCTCTGTTAACCCCCAATGTAACTCCTTGTATATAAATAAATAAACAAATAAATAAATAAATAAATAAATAAATAAATATGCTGCTGAAATTATTTTGTTTGTGTGTGCTTCCAGTGTCAATGCTGGTAAAGACTTCTCGATTCCCACTCTTTCGAATCTACATTGCATTGTATACGTTGAGATTGAACTCTTGTAGCCATTTATCTGCCTACTCCTGTAGTTTGGAGATGGTCTTGGTTTATAATTTTATGTTACAAATTATCAAAGGAATAAGGTCTGAAAGAACAGACCACTGATTTAAAATGACCCTACAAAAAATTGTCAAATGATTAAAAATTTAACATGAACTTAATATTCAATTTAAAAAGAGCAAAAATTATCTATAAGAATGAAATTTTATTATACCCTGTAGATTAAGAACAACAAAGCCCTAGAAGTGAGCCTTCATGAACACTGCTTGCTGCATCTATCCTGACATCACCTAGCTGATGCTAGCTGCATCCATCCTGACATCACCTAGCTGACAATGTCATTCTGTTTTATATCTGTTAGATACTCTATTATCTAGTTAAGTGTGTTACCAGTTATGCAAGCTTGCTTCCCCATTTTATATTGAAGCCTTTTGTGGAAAAGAGTATCATATGGTTTTTTACAGTCTTGGAAAATTAAATCTACCAGACATGTAGCATAAAATTGTACATGCACTACTGACTAACCTGTCAGAATTATTTTGTTGTCCTCTTGACGGAGACCTGTCCAAGACAGAAAAACATGCAGTGTTGTGAAGAGCATCGAGTTGACTTTCATTAACGGGCGTGTCCGTTCACTGAACATGCCTGGGGCATCCATTACACCGTCATTATCAGCAATCATGCTCTATAAATCAGATAAAAAAAACCAGCGTTGAATGTAATGAAATGCCATTTTGTGTGAACCCTGAAGGCTCCCTGGAGCTATTCGGGCTAATGTGTTTTTATATTAGACTGGGGCTAATGTGTTTTTATATCAGACTGGGACACTAGCTATGGAGTTCGGACCTACCAGGGACTATGAGCCAGAACCTGGCCCTTTCAGAGAGGTTTCAGGGAGCAATGGCCCCTAGAAAACATCCCATGGTTGGGGGTTTTCCTTATCAACCATGGACCGGGGTTAGGCACCCAGAAAGGTGTCAAACAAAACAAACCCCACATGGTAAGAAACTAATAACAAAAACCGAACAGAGAGGTTAAACTCTCCTCAATCCCAGCCCTCCCCTTCCCGAGAGAGGGGAGGGGGGGCCCCCTGGACCTCACTGCGCCGGCTGCATAGCACCCCAGTTCGGAAGCTAAGCTTCAACCAATGTGAAAAAAATGCCGACCGGTAGGAGGGAGGGTTGCCAGGGAGCATCTGGGGTTCACCCAGAAAATGGGGTTTCATTACATTCAACGCTGGTTTTCTGAGGGGAGCCCCACCGTCTCCCTGGAGCTACATACCCAAAGAGAAGGAAAAAGAGGGACTTACCCGGGAGGCAGTCGCCACAAACTCCTCAAAGTGAAGTTGAGACAACCGGCTGCAACCAGCGACCCAAAGCAACACAAGAACGTCCAGGAGCAGGTACGTTCACCAAATAACGAGCGGCCAGGACGCCTGTTCAACCTCCAAAATTCCCGCGCCCGAATATTAGCCCAAAACATGTTACCAAACACAAAAGCCAAAGCTGCAAACTTCTGAACGTCATGGGCGCGAGCATAGACCACAGGCTGGATAGACTTAAGAATTACCCTCGGCCTACTACACGGAAGAAGCTCATGCGCTTCCTAGGGATAGCGTCATATTATCATAAATTTTACAGGAACTTTAGTTCAGTGGCTACACCTCTCATAAACCTCACCAGCCCTAAGCAGAAATATGTCTGGACAAATTCTCAATCTATTGCATTCAACCAATTAAAGGCTTTACTCTGTACTAATCCCATTCTCGCCTCGCCAGATGTAACGAAACCCTTCGTCCTCAATGTCGATGAGGATGAATCATTATTAATTATTATTTTCTGTAAAATTAAAGTAAATTTTGTTTAAGTTTTGTTATATTAAATATTTTAAGGTCTTTATTCTCTTGTTTTTACCTGCAATTCGTACACTGTAGAGGACAAAGCAGCTTTATTTTAATTTATTTTCTCTTTTTTTTAATGTGAGACTGGCATTACACCTGCCAAAATAGTTACTGCTCTATTCCAGATCACATCACAGTGTTTATCAGACAGCTGCACAGTACCTTGCGCCTCTGCCAACGACGATACTACCTCCTACCCAAGGTCAAACAGGAGCAAGAACCCCAGCTAAACCCCAAGGGCGAGCAATCACTGAGCAGCAACAGAACCACGAGGAGGTAGTCTCCTGAAACGTCTTATGGAAGTTAACCCTAAACTGCAAGGGCAGTACTTACAGGGCACCTAGGAAAGGTGGCCCTAGGTGCATGTTGCACCAGTACTCATGGCTCGCACACCACCAACACAGAACAACAATACTGCTCTGCAGCACTTTTCAAAAGGATGGAGCCAGAGTCGATCAACCACCACAAATACAACAGCTGTGAACTGGGATTGGGTAGCCAGAGTGTGAGGTCTGGGATCCCTAGTCCCCCTCCCCCTCAGGGAGTGAGGAGTTGCGCAGGCAGCAGTGCAGTGGCTGTGGTGATGTCATGCTTGTTTGCTTGTTTTCGATTGGGGAGTTCTCCTTGCTCGTTCGGCTTTCAGTTTGCAATTTTTAACCAGCTGTAGTTTGTTTTGGGATTCCCACCATTCTGGGTGCCTGACCTGGTAGATGGCAGACATAGACTGCTTCCAATACATGAGGGGTATCTTTAGGCCATTGCTCCTCGTGCCTCTCTTGAGAGGTGGCCAGGTTCTGGCTCTGGTCCCCGGTAGACTTAGAACTCCATCGATTGACTGTTGCCACGGTCTAATATATACACATCACCCCAGTATAGCTCCGGGAACACGAAGGGGCTCTCCACAGAAAAATTGCCTAACTCCAGGATATCTATTCACTGCTAGGTGAACAGAGGCATCAGGTAAAAGGAAACATTGCTGAAATGCTTGTCTTGCCATGAATATTGAACCTGGTACATTTCAGGATCAGTGACCTAACTGCACTGATCAACTTAAATAACCTAAGTACAGTAGAACAAATACAAAAATACAAAAATGAATAATTGTAGTGCCTACCTGAAAGAAACCACTAATTGTTTCTAGGTGAACACAGACTGGCTTGAGAAACCGAAGAGCACGTTGAGCAACCTCACCAGGTGTGAAGAGGTCAAGGTGAGAGTAACCAATACCTTAAATAATATAAAAATCAAAATGCATTATTAGCAAAAATTTTAATCTGTTAAACTCACTTTTTTCCTGATCAGTCCTGCTTGAACCTACTCATTCACATTCCCCTTCCCGGTTCCACTACACTGAAATGTAAAAAACCAGCATTGAATATAATGAAACGCCATTTTCTGGGTGAGTCCCAAAGGCTCCCTGGAGCTATCCAGGCTGAATGGATATGAAAGCACTCCCCCCCCCTCAGGGCTTGGAGTGCTGTGCGGATGATCGGCTCGGCAGTAAAGTGTGATGTTTGCTTGTTTCCTTGGGATTGTAGGGAGTTTCTACCTCTCTGTTCGTTTTTTTGTTTTAGTTTTTACCATGTGGGGTTTGTTTTGTCATGCCTACGTTTCTGGGTGCCTGACCCCGGTCGATGGCAGATAAAGAAAACCCCAACCACAAGGGGGTTTTCCAGGGTCATTGCTCCCTGAAACCTCTCTGAAGGGGCCAGGTTCTGGCGCTGGTCCCTGGTAGGTCTGAATGCCTTAGGTAATATTCCGGTCTAATATAACATACATTAGCCCGATAAGCTCCAGGGAGCCTCCGGGGCTCACCCAGAAAATGGCGTTTTATTACATTCCACGCTGGTTTTCTGGACGAGTCCTGGAGGCTCCCCGGCATCCCTCCCTTCCTCCGGTCGGCGGTGTTTTTCGCGTATTTTGACATCCAGCCTAAGAACTGCCAGTCAAATAGCCGGCGCGGAGGGTCTGAGGTTCCCCCTTCCCCCTCCCGGGGAAAGGAGGGGGAGGGGGTGCGCAGACAGTGGCGTGGCGACGTGATGACGTCATACTAGTTTTCTATTTTTGTTTGGGGAGTTGTGTCCACTCATTCGGCTTTTGGAAGCAATCATTTCACCAGAATAGGGGTTTGTTTTGGGGCGCATGCCTTTCTGGGTGCCTATCCTGGTCAATGGCAGACATAAAATGCTCCCAACCACAGGGGGGGGTTTCTATAGGCTCCTCGTGCCTCTCTGAGGGGGCCAGGTTCTGGCTCGTGGTCCCCGGTAGGCAAGCACTCCATGCACGTTGACTGATGCCAGAAAGTTATACATATCCAGTCAGCCTGGATAGCTCCGGGAAGCCGTAGGGGCTTTCCCCAGAAATATGAGTATAGTAAGCATCTGCATATGATTGTATATACAGAATTCACGGAAAATAAGAGACCTAGTTCACAATGAAGTGATTTTTTTGATCAACATTCATCTGATTAAAGTTAACAGACTGGAAGTGGGTATCTAATTTTACCATTGAGTGCTTATTGTGCTCAAACTGTATATCTTTATTTTGCTGTTTAAATGTAAAGGTATTTTTTCTACTTCACGTCAAGTCCCTAGATCTGTCACCCGAGTTACAAACTTTCTGGCGTTTCACTTCTCTTGGAGTATTCGCCATTATGGTCTGTATGACCATATGAGCCTGGTTGTGATGATTTGGTTTGCAGAACAAGTAGGAGAGGGAAAGATGAGTGTTTAGTACTCTCTTCTGCACATGACTTACCATTTCTTTCCAGTGTGTGGCATGGTTATGTCTCCTCCTCCACCTCTTCTGTCCTCAGAGAAATTCTGGCCCTAGATTAATCAGCCTCTTGAATAGCAGCTCTCTTTATCCTCTGTGGCATATTGGGGTTAGTTTTATGCCACTGTTAAGTCTCACTCTCCATTTTTTAATTTAATTTACCTAGACTGGGCTTGATATGGCAAATCTTCCTTAATTAAAGAAGCATTCTTGGCTGCTCAGAAATAAGGTTTTGAGAGTACACTTCATGAAAAGCTTGCTGAAAAGGCCATGCAGTCATCACTCTTGTGTTCGCCCTTTTGTCCCAATTTCTCCAGTGCATGTTTAAGGAGCACTGGGATAAAACGGGTGAATGAACCAGGCACCTCTGTTTGCAGTTGATGCTGACGATAGTGGTAATGGGTTGTAACCAGGGGGGTAAAGTAACTGTTGGATAGTTTGTGTGATTAGCAGAGCAATGTTTCACAGCCATTGAGGACTAAATTAAGAATTCTATACTTATGGTTTGGCAGGATAACTTTCCATATCTTCAGGTGGTTCCTAGGATTAACACTCCATCTTTCTACTTGGCCAGTAATTTCTTCTGTGAGCATTTTCTGTGCAATAACACCATGGTCACAATTGTTGACAGCTTATATATGCAGTTGGAATATGCAGTGAACAACCACTGCATATTCCAACTTTGGTCTCACAAAGGTCATGAACAATTTTTTAATATTTCCCCATCCATGTGCAGTATTTAAAAGCAAATCTGAAATTAGAAAGTGTAGCATATGCTCCTCGCACAATGTTCTTTATGTGGTCCTCAGGTGACAGCTTTCTATCTGGAACTGCCCCTTAGATCTCTGTCTTTATCTGAATTTTTTATAGCTTTTTCACATAATTTGTAGGTTGTGTGTGACCTACTTTCTTCTATTTCACATTCCATAATATGGCATTTATTCACATTAAGTTCCATTTTTCATCATGCTCCATACACTTATTCTGTCTAGGTCTTTTTGAGGGGGGCATGACAATCGTCTACGTTTCTTATATTCCCTAGTACCTGTATCTTAGCATCATCAGCAAACATGATCTTATAATTCTGTATTACTTCTGATAGATTGTTTATGTAGACAATGAACATTACTGGTACAAGAACTGAATCCTGTGGTACCCCACTCGTGACATTTCTCCAGTCTGATTACTGCCCACTTTTTTTCTGTCGGAAAATTTGTCATCCATATTAGAAGCCTCCCTGCCACTCCTCTAGTATGTGGCCAACCACTTGGGCTGGACGGTTGAGCGACGGTCTCACTTTATACAGGTCGGCGTTCATTCCCTGACTGTCCAAGTGGTTGGGCACCATTCTTTTCCCTCATCCCATCCCAAATCCTTATCCAGACCCCTTCCAAGTGCTATATAGTCATAATGGCTTGGTGCTTTTCCCCGATAATTCCCTCCCTCCCTGCATCCAGTATGTTCCAGTTTTCAGAACAATCTCTTATGTGGGACTGTCGAAAGCCTGTTCTAGGTCCAGAAGGTACAGTCTTTGATGTACAGGAAAAGACTGAGTGAGCTTATCTCAGAAACTTAAGAAAATAGAAGTAGTGATTTGTCTTGGTTGTGAAATAACAAACTACAGTAATGACCAAACCTTCAATATTTAAGTGCCTAGATTAATGACGAGAGTCAACATCAGAGAGGAATTACTACAGGGTACATCAAATTTTCCTACAAATTTTGCCTGTCATACTGTAGTGTCACTAGGACTCTTTCAATTGATAAATGGCTTCTAGTGTTTTTAAATGTTAATAACTTGTAAGTTAGCAGTCTTCATGTTTTGGCATCATCCTATTAATTTATTTGCTACATAATCTATAATCTAATGTATCCTTTTTCATCCTATACAGGTACAACTGCAATAAATATCATTAAGCAAATCTTTTTCCTAGAAAGCCGTTCTGTTGGACAAAATTTATTAAAATATATCATATATATCAAACCTGTTGATAACCAAACCACACACCAGAAGCTGGAGAAACGACGACGCTTTGGTCCGTCCCGGACCAATATCAAGTCGATATACGACTTTATAATCGTCCAGGACGGATTGAAACGTTGTTTCTCCACCTTCTGATGTGTGGTTTGGTCATCATATTTTCAGCCATGTTATTGTGGCTCATCGTCTGCATCAAACTTGTTGCATATGGTCCTATACTAAAAGAAATATTTATATATATTTTCCAATTGCATGCATATAGCATTAGATTACTTAAATTACTCACTTTTATCTGGGCCATGGCCAAGTACTGATGCTCGCTTATGCCCAGCTCCAAACACATGCATCAGCTTGAAGTTTAGATCAGTAAGCAGAAATTCAGCTTCTGATAATGATAACTGACTTTGAGTCTGAAACCATGAAATTCAATTAATAATTCATCACTGTTTGTTTATACTCAGTTCTGTCTGTTCACTTCGTACATACAGTATTATTCACATCTGATATTATATTTCTCAACTGCACAGTAAACCTAAAGGGGGTCTTTCTACACTTACCTTATCAACATTTATAAACCTATATTCCATTAACCATTTTAAGCTGACCCCTCACATTTGAATATAAACAATTATGCTAATAAAATGAACACATATGAATCTGTGAAAACATGCATTTTTTCTGAATAAAAAGTAAGTAGTTTTAAATAAAATATAATATCAAATTAATGATATTTACACAACTCACGTGCATCTCGGTGTCCAAAGACAGCTTTCTGAAGAGAAGACAAAACACATCCAGGTGAAGCTCTCTGAAGAATGGCCGTAGAGAAATCATGTCTACTGTGGATGGCACCTTCGTCAGGGGGATGAAGAAAGTATTAAATTTGAAACAAGATACATGTATACCAACTTCAGAGATTTGCAACTAGATTAGAACAAGAATTGAGAAGGCTCAGCTATGAGGACAAGTTGAGGGAATTCAGCCTCACAATCTTAGAGAAAAGAAACACAGGGGGCAGGGGAATGAGCATGATCACTAAATGCAAGATCCTGAGAGTCTAAATGTGAATAAAAATGAAGAAATTCTTTTTTCTAAAAAGTGTTATGGATTGGAAAGCTAGTGAATTGATAAATAAAAACAGAGCAACAAAATCATTACAGGAAGCGGAAGTAAAGGACAAAAAAACCGGAACATGTTCCTGAAAATTGTACATACAGTACCAACATAGATGGTGTGAGAAAAATACTGGATCCATCATTCTGCATTACACATACAGTAATGCAGAAGTGTTAACTGTGTGACTCTCTCTGAGAAGCAAGCCATATGTTACTTACAAAGTACAGTATATGCAATACAAAGTCAACATCAATATTCAACATCATTAAAATTTGAACTGACTTCCAAAGTATCTGAATCCTTTTCCTGAGGTTGCACTAGCGTGGGCTGAGGGGTAGGCTGTGTGGTAGGCTGAGAAGTTGGCTGGGTTCCTAGTTGTGTTACTTCTGTATTACTCTCTTTCCCCTTATTTTTCTTCTTCCTGAAAAAAAAGGCCAAGCATTGAACATCATGATACTGTATATCCTTTTCTGGTGGGCTGCTCAGTAGCTTTCCATAGTTGCCAAGCATTGGGGAACTTTCCACTGAGGTTGCCATTAACTGTACCATGCATCTCGGACCTAACCTACTGGAAACCAGGACCTCTATGGCTCTCTATGAGGCAAGAGAAACTTTCAGATCAAAGATCAATACAAAACCAAGAAGAAACCCAGCAGAAAGTAAAAGCTCATTAAAAATAACTGCTTGAAGGAAATTAATAACCCTTGAGGAAAACACATCAAACAATTATTGTCTACCTTTTGGCAACGTTCATTAGTAATAGTCCAAACTCTGCATGCAGCAGTGAGAAGGTTGCCAGAAACAATTAGTTTACTTTGAAGGTTTGTCTTTAGCTTTCTCTTACTGTGATCAGGATCAGCCATCTTTGCTATGTTTGCTTATGAGACTGCAGCTCAGCCTAGTTCAGAATAATAGCACATTAATATTTACGTAATTGCTAACACGTTCCAATAACACGTTCCAATAACGGAAATCTAGAACTGCTGTTGCTACGAGATTAGGCTCCAGCTCCAACTCATAGAGCTCCAAGTTTTCATTATCTTGCCTTTATTATCTTGCTCCATTTAAGGCCTGGTTGGAAGTTATGAGGAAATGGGGAAAGAAAGAGGAGGAATATATGCTATCATTTCTGATAGGGAGAGGAGTTTAGGTCCTCTGGATTCACTTCTATCTCATTAGGAGAAAAGGTAAATTTTATATTCTGCTCTGTTCAGTGGTGGGTCCATCTTAATCTCTGAAGGATGATGGATTTTGTCTGTGGCAAAGTTTGAGGAACTGGTTTGATGTATGTTTTATTCTCTTTAAGATGCGGAGTTCTAAGTAAAAGGGCATTTTTCTACACTTGGTAGAGTAACATTCTCTCACACAGCTTGTCACTGATGTTTCATCATTTTCCACATCAGGTTCCAGTGGCCCTGCCTGTTATGGAGGTTGTGAGCCAAACTAATTAAAATTTCTAATGTCTAGACTCCATATTTTCTCAGATTAGGCACATTCATTTCAAAGACAAGCTAACACATTTTTCACTAAATAGTTGCAATGATTGTTTAATAACAATGAAGTATGTAATAAAATGACTTCCATGGTTAATCTTTCTACTGTGACATATAAAGATTTATTTACTTTTAGCAAGATATCTGACAGAATCACTGCTTATTTAACATACAACTTTTGTAGCTTTCTGAATACAGTGGAGCCTTGGTTGATGAATGCCCCTCCTTACAAATTTTTTGGTGTACGAGCTCAATTTCTATTGTAAAATTTCACTCGGTATACGAGCTTTGCCTCGCTTGGCGTTTGTTGATGCACGTATGGGTCAACCGAGCGCGTGGTTCCTGGTGGCACAGGCGAGGCGTGCCACCAGGAACCCGGTCCCTACCGGGTTCTACCAGTGGTCGTATACCAATGACTCTAGCCTAGTGACGATCGCGCTTGAATTCTTTGTTAAAAATTTAATTGTTTTGTGCTTTTGTGGTTTCTGAACCTAAAAGTAATTATTATATAGCACACCATGGGCTCCTGCCTCTCTCCTCACCGTCTTCCATACACCATCAAGAGTCCTCATTAAAGGTAAGATATACTTGTACATACTATAGTACAAAATATAATTAGTAGTATGTATAAAATGTATTTTTAAGTTAATATTTTTGGAGGCGTGGAATGGATTAATTCAATTTACATTTTTCTTATGGGAAATTGATTTGGGTTTCCAAATTTTCGCTTTAAGAACTGTCCCTGGGAATGGATTAAATTTGAAATTTGCCCGAAACGATTGCGTAGTATGTACTAGATCTATCTATATATCAATCCATTAATGTAACATCACTTGTATGTATATACCACTGTATCTGAATCTGAATCTGTATATGATTATCAAGAAAATTTACTATCCAGTATATTCCTAACATTATTTCAGAAATTATCATCTTATGTAAACTTATACAGTCTAAAATCTGTCACAGACTCATACGATAATGTACGAGATGACCCTTGACAAGTCGCTGGCTTCCTGTCCTCATCGAGACCATTATTGTCAGTGGCCCTCGGGTAAATTCAGGTATAAAATAACTTACCCTTTCCCAGGTGCTGCCTTTCGTCCCTTCTTTCCTTTCTTTGTATTAGCTATTGTGAATGTGGGTAATGCTGCAGATGTGTCTAGATCAAACACTGCCAGAGGTGGTGAGTAGCTGGGACACTTGGGTAAAAACTGTGATAACATAGTCTGAAGCTCAATCACTTGTTGCACACGTGAAAATACCTGTAAATATACAATGTAATCATATTATCTATACTCAAATTCTTTATATAAAGATTTTTTATTATATTGAAAATAACCATTTATAGTTGGAACTTTTATCACCATATTCTCTTATGCCACATTTACCAATCTTAATTTCTATAATAAAATCCCTCAATCCTGGTTGCATGCTCAGATGTTCCTGGGCTTTGTGCTTTGCCACGAGGGCTTTGCCCTGCAACCAGACAATTTTGACCTGCTGCCAAGCAACTTTGTCCTGGTGCTGGTATCCTCGCTCAGGTGCAGGCCTTTTTGCCTTGGTTGTATGTTTGATATGCCTCAAACCTTTTACATTTTTGTGCTTAAGCTCAGAATATCAGCCATGTTCTCCTGGGTATTGGGCCCAATAGGTGGCATCCTTGGTCATGTACGTTGTGTGTCATCTTGCTGTTTCCTGGGTTGCGAGTTTGTGGGGCAGTATGAATATACAGTATAGTACTGCTTGATACCTGCTTGATGGGGTTCTGGGAGTTCTTCTACACCCCAAGCCCGGCCCAAGGCCAGGTTTGACTTGTGAGAGTTTGGTCCACTAGGATGTTGCTTGGAGCGGCCTGCAGGCCCACATACCCACCACAGCCCGTTGGTCTGGCACTCCTTGGAGGAAACTATCTAGTTTCCTCTTGAAGATGTAACTGCTCTTTATTTATATATGTATATCTTGCACGTGTGCATATGGCCAAATGGGTTTCTATTATGTTTGACTTGCTGTCTTTACAATGACACCCTACTTCCTGTGGGCCTAGGGGCTTCATGTTGCTCTGAGCTATACACCCTGCCCCACATTGTGTGCTGTGGGCTTTTGGATGTTTTACCATTTCTCCGGGCTACCTACCCTCGTCTTTGGGGGTTAAGACCTTGGCCTTCTGGTCCGGGGCCATTAGGGTGTTTGTCCCAGACCAGTTGTGTTGTATTCCTTGTGCCATATGGACTGTACACACTGTGCCTTCTGGACTGAATGTGTTGCATGACAGTCCCAGTCATTTGTGCAGTGTACCAGGCCTTTAGTCTGAAGACTCCAGGCCACTGGTTTCAGGGTCACAGTCGTGTGCTGATGACTAGGAGATAGTTTCCAGCACTCTGGTCTGGTTGGATAGATTCCCTGGCTGTGGGACTTGGGTTTTCCGTTCCCCGTGCCCAATTTTCTTGAGAGTAAAATTTCAGGACAATTATTTCCATACTTTTTTTGTCCTTAGTATCTGGGATGTGGTCTTGTCCTTTTCGTTGTCTGGGTGCCAGCATCCTACTGTTAGCCATGTTTTGCCCCTAGGTCTGTGTCCTAGCTATCCCAGGTTATCCAGTGATTTATGTTCTGCTTTCCAGCTGTTTTTCTGTCTTTATAGTGTGGGTCTTTTGCTACTTTGGCAACATTTTCTTAGGCACCTTTGTCTACAGTTTCTGTCCGTCTTTAGATTTTTGATAGTCCATCCAGATGTCGGTCTTTTACACTATCTTATATGTTCCTCGACCTCCTGCTACTCTAGTATTCCAGATCTCTTTGCACCTGCCAAGCTCTCCTACAGGTAAACCCTTCTCTGGCTTTACTGAGTTTTGTTCTGATGTTTCTCCTCAGCAAAGCCTTCCTCCTCTGCCAAACTTCCATTAGGAATATGCTCTGGGGAGCTACTGAAGGGGTCCAACCTGAAGTCCTTTTTCTGGTGGGCCCTAAGTAGCTCCCTGTATCTGCCATTTTTCCTTATTGCTTGTGGGATTTCTAGATTCAGTACTGGCGCCTCTTGCGGTGATTAGCTCACCGAGACTCAGGTGATTTGAGCCACCGCCTGGTTACAGTTGCACACATCAAGATTAGGGTAATTTACTGTGGTAATGATCAGTTGCCTTATTTGCCACAGGATTACCACAGATATGATGACCAAATGACCAAACCACACACCAGAAAATAGAGAAGGGACAATGTTTCAGTCCATCCTGGACCATTATAAAGTCATGATACTGTACTGTACTAAGCAACACTAGGTCAAACTAAGACCACTGAAATGATTGGCAGATGTAGTAAATGAGCTCTCGAGAGGAAGGAGCAATAGAGAAAATTTTAACAGTAGAATGAATGCAAATCTTTTGTAAACGTGTTTTTTGGTATTATATGTGAAACTTTTCTAACCTTTAACATCAGGTCTATTCTCTAGAACTTAATAAATGTAGACAGATAGATGAGGAGTAGCCAATATATCCAATTGTGCATACTAATGAATGACCAATGATTTATATTACTAACCTTTTGCTTCAAGTCAATATCCTTTTGTGTAACAAAGGCATTAATTAGTTCAAGAAACCAATTTATGGTGTAAAACAGACAGGAAAGTACTGCATGTTGCTCAGCTCTTGAATGTGACTCAAACTTCTCCAATACCAATGGAGCTGGGCCATACACTGGACACCCAAGCAGAGCGTCAATATTGCTAAGTTCTCCGTCGTGAAGGCGGCTCTCCAACATGCGCAGCAGACGGAACTGAGGAGCCAGGGATACCAGCTTGCTCCTGAAAAATGTTTCATATTAATTTATTTCCTGAACAATAATTACATTTAATATTAATGCTTTGAATGTAAATGAAAAGCTCCATTCTGATCAAGTCGCTTGATCATTTACTGAGGCTCTCTACATAACATATTTTAGCCTGATCAGTGCAACCTCATTTTTCCTGATGCACCTTTTCCAGTTTGTTGATGTGCTTCTTAAGATATGGGCACCACACAACAGCTGCATATTCTAGCTTTGGCCTAACAAAAGTCATGAACAATTTCTTTAGTATATCACCATCCATGTATTTAAAAGCAATTTTTCAGTTAGAAAGCGTGGCATAGACTCCTCGCACAATATTCTTTATGTGGTCCTCAGGTGATAGTTTTCTATCTAGAATCACCCCTAGATCTCTTTCTTTATCAGAATTCTTTAAAGATTTCTCACATAATATATAGGGTGTGCGTCGCTGTCTGTTCTACAATCCTATTAGAATGGATTTTTCATAAACTTTAAAAGTTTGTAGTTATAAATTTTGTTGTCTGAAATTGGTGCATATTTCAAATGCCATATTGACAATCTTTTTTTACAGTAAACTAAACTAAAAATCTATATTCTAAATCTATGAAGATCATATACTATTCTGATAGCATAATAACCCTTAATGAACAATTGGTGATATTTAACATTTTTGCAGCTGATCTGAAAATCTGAAATTTTCATTATTAAATTTGTAATTATTTTTAATTTTCTTGTTTATCAAGTTACATTGGTGATCATTTAAACAAAGTTGGAGCGTTTGCCTAGTAGATTACGCACAAAAATTTAAAAGCATTAGAGCAATTTTGAGAAATTTAACTTATGGTACCATCGGGTCTTGTCATATATACTGTATACGCCAGGCGCAGCTTAAGGGTTAAGTGTACTTCAATACACACATAAATCACAATAACATAATATATCAAATCAACAAATCCACAAGGGCCTTGATGAGTGTTCGAACCTTTGCACTAAGTGTTCCCAAACATGCTCTTTTCCATATCATGGTTCAGTTGACTAGAACACGTCTGGGAGAACTCAGCACATAGATTCAAACCTTAATCAAGGCCCTTGTGGATTTGTTCAAATAATAATAATAATAATAATAATAATAATAATAATAATAATAATATTAATAACAATAATAATAATAATAATAATAATAATAATAATAATAATAATAAAAAAAAATAATAATAATAAAGCACTCACTCTTTAGCCACTGGATCATTTCTTGTGGGCTCAGCTTTTATGACCATTGGTGCCAAGTTTAAAATTATGCCTCCATCTTCTACACCTTCATCTAAGTTCCAGCAAACAGCTAGAGGGAAGAGTGTCTCTGGAGGCTGGGAATCTGCTACATGGTCTAGTACAAAGGTTTCTTGAAAGTCATCAGTCATCTTCTCACACACCCATTCCTGATGTGCGAGATGAAAATCAGAATTACTACACACACACACACACACAATTGGAAAATACAATGATAAAATTATAAATTGTCTCAAATATCAAACCAATATATTATGTTTCATATTTCCTTGCGAATACTGCTAAATTCTTAACACCGTATTTCCTCCTTTAAACCAAATTTTTACAGATTCTTCAATCACACGTGTGTGAACAAACACACGGCAGAATATCTAAAAGCTCAGTCCTTGGTACCTTTACTGCTCACTATTTATGTAAATAACCTTCTCAGGGACCCCTACATGTTACTGCTTGCAGATGGTATAAGCTAATGATGCAGGTGAGAAAAGAGCAGGATTGCATATTATTATTATGAATGGGCTGACAAATGGTCTGCCCCATTCATAACTGCAGGAAAATTGTACAAATGTAATGTTGAAAAGTTTTCTGACAATGAGTGATTAATGATTAGAATACTCTCCATAAGGTAATGTGTACTAGAACCATGGTACATTTTAAGAGAATTTGCAATCAAATATATTTTTAATAAAATACATGAAGATGGAAGAATGCAAGCAAAGTTCTTTACTTGTATAACCACTACTAACAGACAATAATAAAAAATAGAGCAGAACAACACATACACTCTATACACACACAAAGGCAGTATGACTATAACTACCTCTAACTTGGAATTCATGCCCTCTTTAAGGGTAATTGATGCCATTTCATCCATAAACAAAGCTGAAGCAGTTGGTGATCTTGCTGTGGAAGACAGCACGAGATGCAGGAGATTTTCAGCCTCCTTCAGAAATGAAGAATTTAGTCCAGATGCAGATGTACTTGTGGTTGAAGTACTGACAGAGTTGTGACTGTCATCAATTGCAACCATGTTCTTCACAACAAGAGCAGCATTTAGCACACCAATCAATTTGTATCTGTAAGGAAGTTTTCATAATGATCTTTACTATTCTCACACTCAATATATTTTTGTTGCAGCTAATCAAAGACTATGTATTCGCTTCCAATGCAATGCATATCCTATGAAACACAAATTATTGCGGATGGTATGAATGTATGGTGGGTATATATATATAAAGTAGTCAGAGGTAAACACACAGGACCCCACCCCTGTGAAAGGACTTGAACTTTAGAAGGCCAGGTGTTCGCGCGCCTTGATGCAACCAGTACTCTAACCCCCCTGCCACAGCAGATCGTTAAAAACAGATCGAAAGTTGGGAGTATTTCCCCAACATCTCAATCTCCCAATGACGCTAGCCATGACAAGAGATCAAAGATGATTTTCATCAGTCAATCACATTTACTAGGGGAGAACTAGCAGGCCACATATTACATGGTACACTTGTATAAACTCACAAGTCATAGGTAAACAAACAGGACCCCCACCCCTGTGAGAGGACTCGAACCTTAGAAGGCCAGGTGTTCGCCATCCACCCACCCACCACGGGTGGGGGTGGATTGGTGGACTGGTGGCTGACTGACTGGCAGGTGGGCTAGCTAGCAGACAGACAGGTGGGCAGTTTTGGGTGGGTAGGTATGTGGATGGATTGGTGGCCAGCTGGAAGGCAGGGGGGTGGGTAGGTACATGGGCAGGGAGGATAGCTGGGTTGGTGGACTGGTGGGTGAGTTGGAAGGTGGGCAGGCAGTGTGGAAGGATGGATGGATGGATTGGTGGCTGGGTTGGTAAATTAATGGGAGGGTGGGGTCAGGTAAATTGCTGGGTGGGCTGGGTGGGTAGGCTGGGTGGGCTGGTAGGCAGGCTGGGTGGGTTCGGGGGGGCGGGTGGTCTTTGGTGGGTTTGGATGGGTAGGCGGTCATTGTTGGGTTCTGGCGGGCAGGCGGGCTTGGGCGGGCTTGGGCGGATAGGCGGGCTTGGGCGGATAGGCGGGCTTGGGCGGATAGGCGGGCTTGGGCGGATAGGCGGGCTTGGGGGGATAGGCGGGCTTGGGGGGAACGGCGGGCTTGGGGGGATAGGCGGGCTTGGGTGGGCTCAGGTGGGTAGGTGAGCTTGGGTGGGTTTGGTTGGGTAGGTGGGCTAGGGTGGGTTTGGTTGGGTAGGCGGGCTAGGGTGGGTTTGGTTGGGTAGGCGGGCTAGGGTGGGTTTGGTTGGGTAGGCGGGCTAGGGTGGGTTTGGTTGGGTAGGCGGGCTTGGGTGGGTTTGGTTGGGTAGGCGGGCTAGGGTGGGTTTGGTTGGGTAGGCAGGCTAGGCGGGTTTGGCTGGGTTCGGGCAGGTAGGCAGGCTTATTGGGTGGGTTCGGGAAGGTAGGCAGGCTTATTGGGTGGGTTCGGGCAGGTAGGCAGGCTTATTGGGTGGGTTCGGGCAGGTAGGCAGGCTTATTGGGTGGGTTTGGGCTGGTAGGTGGGCTTGGGTGGGTTCGGGCTGGTAGGTGGGCTTGGGTGGGGTTGGGCAGGGAGGCAGGCAGGCTTGGGTGGGTTTGAGTGGGTTTGGGCGGGCAGGTGGGCACACACACACACACACACACACACATACACAGTATATATAGCTGAAAACTCACACCTCAGAAGTAACTCGAACCCATACTGCCAGGAGCATTCTGCAACTGGTGTACAGGACACCTTAACTACTCTACCATCATGACCAGACAAAAGATGATGGTAGCCGAGGCTATTTCCATCCTCCTGCTGGTACTCGGTTGGTAATCTTGGTATTTTATCAAATCACCTCATTCTTTGGGGCACACGTGAGGAACACAAATGCGAACAAGCCTGAACGGTCTCCAGGCATATATGCCACTGAAAACTCACCCCAGAAGTGACTCAAACCCATACTGCCAGAAGCAATGCATCTGATGTACAGGATCCCTTAACCACTCGACCAACACAACCGGACAAAAGAGGATGGGAGGATGGATATCAAATGTAGATATGATAGAGCCCAGTAGGCTCAGGAATCTGTACAATGCCACGCTTTCTAACTTCAGAATTGCTTTTAAATACATGGAAGGCGATATACTAAAGAAACTGTTCACAACTTTTGTTAGGCCAAAGCTAGAATATGCAGCGGTTGTGTGGTGCTCATATCTTAAGAAGCACATCAACAAACTTGAAAAGGTGCAAAGACATGCTACTAAGTGGCTCCCAGAACTGAAGGGCAAGAGCTATGAGGAGAGGTTAGAGGCATTAAATATGCCAAAACTAGAAAACAGAAGAAAAAGAGGTGATATGATCACTTCATACAAAATAGTAACAGGAATTGATATAATCGATAGGGAAGATTTCCTGAGACCTGGAACTTTAAGAACAAGAGGTCATAGATTTAAACTAGCTAAACACAGATGCCGAAGAAATATAAGAAAATTCACTTTCGCAAACAGAGTGGTAGACGGTTGGAACAAGTTAGGTAAGAAGATGGTGGAGGCGAAGACCGTCAGTAGTTTCAAAGCGTTATATGACAAAGAGTGCTGGGAAGACGGGACACCACGAGCGTAGCTCTCATCCTGTAACTACACTTAGGTAATTAAACACACACACACAGGTATGTCGTACCTAGTAGCCAGAATGCACTTCTCGGCCTACTATGCAAGGCCCGATTTGCCTAATAGGCCGAGTGATTTTCTTTATTTTCAATAAAATGTTTCCAGTTGCTTTATTTTAAATATTTTTATTATATTATATTAAGAACATAAATTATTGATTTAGTTATGTTAGTTTAGGTTAGAATAAGATAGGTTACGTTAGGTTAGGTTGGGTTCGGTCATATATCTACGTTAGTTGTAATTGAAATTTTACAAAATTAAGTCATACATAATGAAATGGATAGCTTTATCATTTCATGAGAAAAAAATTTGAAAATATTTTAATTCAGGAAAACTTGGATTATTACGCAAATCAGGCCTTGCATAGTAGGCCAAGAACTGCGTTCTGGCTACTAGGTACAACATACATACATACATACATACATACATACATACATACATACATACATACATACATACATACATACATACATACATACATAGATAGATAGATAGATAGATAGATAGATATAGATAGATAGAGGTGTATACTGGCAGCAGGTTTTCTTTTATGCATATCTCATTGAATATGACAGCATATTCCGCATTTACTATTTTCTGATTTAGTGCTTCTATCCCTCATACTAATGCTCTTGCATCAGGGTTCAGCTGGAAGAGGAGTTCACCAAAAGTCATGTTGTTTTCAAGGTGAAGAAAAGAATTGAATAACTGAAGAATATATTACACTTATTATAATTTCGCACGACGTTACAAATTAATACAGTGGTATAAACACACCATTGTTATACATCAATTAATACAGTGACAAACATACACTGTTATACATAAATTAAAACAATAGTATAAACAAAGTGGTATAACATACTTCAAGTCTGTGTGAGAGAGTTGCTTTCTCACTAGGATGACTAATTCATCTTGCAACGCAGCGTGAGAGGAGTCAGAGTAAGCAAGGAGGCTTACTACATCCAGAAGCCTTTTCACTTCTCCCAATCCAAGCTCATCCACCATGTCTAAAGAACCCTGTCAAAATATAAATATTGTACTTAATACAATATTATACAGCACTGAATTATCTGAATTACTTGGGATTAAGATTTAAAAACAAAATTAAGGGGGAATATTACAAATTAAGACCGACGAGGATGAAATGCAGAAGAGCAAGAAAGAGGAGGAAATAATGAACAAAGCATAAGATGGGAAAGATTAGGAGGCAGAGAAGAACAGGAGGATACAAATAAGTCAATTAATCAAATAAAACTAATCACCCTGAAGAAAACAAGGCATACAATAATAGCCATGGGCTAAACAGCCCAGACATGATGCACTTGACCACCACTAGATGTCAGGCCAGATCACCCAGGGGCCTTACTAGCATTCCACCTCATTCACAAGCTGCCTGAAAAGAAATCCACTCAACCCCAACAAAAAAAAAGACAACTAGGGTGGGGCCAGGGAGCTACCGAGTGGCTCACCAGAAAACCAGCGTTGAATGTAATGAAATGCCATCTTCTGGGTGAAACCTGGAGGTTCCCCAGGGCTTACCGGGCTGATATGTATGTATTAGACTGTGGCATCAGTCGATGGAATTCTTGCTTACTGGGGATCACGAGCCAGAACTTGGCCCCCTCTAGAAAGGCTAGGAGAGCAATGGCCCATGGAAACCCATGGGACGGCGCCCAATGACACTGGCCGGCATGGTGAGCACTGGTCACAAGGCCCCAGCCAAGAGACGAAGTGTCCGTGAACACGTCGAGCGAGTGCTCTGGTAGGCACCGCTGCACTGAACACCGGATAACCCAAAGAGGAAATCAGCAATGCAGCAACCAACGCAAGGCCCCCAGAAGCCAAGATCGGCGGAAGGGATGGCCCCGAAGGAACCAGAACAACTGCCGAAGCCAAACTAGACCCAGCGGGTAAACCAGCACAGCAAAGTTCAGACTCGCACACTGCTACTCGAGCAACCACCGAGTGACCTTGGAGCCCCCCAAAACAGCTGAAGGTGGAAGTGCAGCCACAGCAATGCCTCCAGAGGGAGACACACAGAAGCGGACCGAGAGTCTCACACGAGACCCAGCCAGGTCCGAACCTGGGACGGAACCAGATGGGAGTTGCTCCAGTTCACCAGGAACCCAAACCCAGCAAGCTGGGAAAGAACCACACCCCTGGTGAGCAGACCGGCTGGAAGCCCATACCAACTAGTCATCAAAGTAGGCCAGATCCCGAACCCCCTAGCTGACGCAGACGGGCCACCAACACCAGGATAAAGCGTGTGAATACACAAGGTGCCAGATACAAACCAAAAGGAAGGCAACAAAAGTGTTAAACCTGCTGTCCCACCACGAAACCTAACCAGTCACTGAACCCCGGATGAATCAGGACATGCCAATATGCATCCCGGAGGTCCAGAGACACCATCCAAGCACCCGGCTCCAAATGAGGCAGGACATTTGAAAAGTTTCTGATTACATTATGGGACGGTGTTTTAGAGACCCTCATTTGTGATATCAATTCTGGATGGATAACATAGGTTCACAGAGCTTTCGTAGGGCCTTAGCTCAAATTCTAAATACAGCTTTTCTAATAAGACAGAAGCTGCCCAGCAATTCTGCACTTTACACAACATAAAACTCCTTTCCAGGAGTTTTAATCCATATAAAGAGCTTATGAAAATTCACATATTCATATTTCTTAGGATGACCAGCTAACAATGTCATGTGCCTTAAATATAATTCATTATTCCCTGTCCCAGTCTTTTTCTGTTCTCCATGACAATATAGAAATTCTGAACACAGCTAAACTAAATGGTTACACAAGCACAAACCTTGAGGAAAATGGTGAACTTTGACATGGAAGCAGTACTTTCATGAGCAAGTGAAGACAATAAAGACAACGCAGCTAATCTCACAGAAGAGTTGTCTCCAAGGTGCTTCAGCAGAGCTAAAACAATCTCCTGCTTCTGATAGCCATCAAGGTGAATGAAAGATAACCTGTAAGAAGTATAACGAAAGCTATAAAATTACTAACACAAGTAATAAAGTTAAATGTTCTAAATAAAAATATTCTTTTCCTCAGAAGTTGTATAAAATGTATTAATATATATAGTTTCAGTCAAAGCAAGTTGATAAGTCTGCCAAATTATCTGCTCATCCATAATTAAATCCTATACACATGAGAAATGCTAAAGAAATAACAAGAACAAAAATAAATTAAGAAACATGTATAATAGGGCAGGCAAAGACAAATCCTATAGCATTTTTTTTCAGTTATATCAAACAAAGTCTACAGAAAAAACTGCATCATTGAAAACTGACAGGTTAGGTCAGATAATAACAATGAAAATACTGTAGTGGGATTTAAAATAAGTACATTTGTCTATGCATTTACCAGAGAACTTGATACACCGGCAGTTGAACAAATCTGTGTAGGTGGTGAAGCAGACAAGTTGACAAGTTGAGTAGTTGTCCGAGAGGTAATTATTAGACATGTTGAAAAATTAAAGCCCAACAAATCCCCAAAGCCTGGTGAATTATTTACCAAGGAATATATAATAATAATAATGACTGCCTCAGCAAGCATGTACAAGTGAGAAAGAATGAGAGAAACAAGAACTAACAGACCAAAGGAATAAATAAAGTACAGAACAGAAAAAATTATACACTACAAGGGGAGAGTAGTGGTATAGAGCCTGGAGCTGGCAACCAGATACAACTGTAATCTGCTTAAAGTACACAAAGAAAAGAACTGTCGATGCTGGAAGGATTAAGTATATAAACCCCATATGGAAAACTGAGACCATCACGTCAACTACCTGTTATTTATTGGATATACACTTTCACATATATTAAGTTACTCTAGTTCAATATTATCTTTCAAAGTCACTTTTACCTATATAAAGTGGCTCCAGCCTGGCTGACAAGTGGTTCAGGACATCTAAACAACAAAATGGCCATCTTCTTCAATGGCTCAAAATGTTCTTTCAATATCTGAGGAAAAAAAAAATTTCATTGTATTCAAATCAAGTGTTACTTGCTAAGATGGCATCATATGACCCTCTGGCTACAACATTAATAAAATATAAATTGGGTACAACACAACATAACAATAATCACAACATTGAATTTTCTTGTGAAAATTACAAGAGGTAACTAGCCTATGATAACACACTAGCTGGTAAATAACCAACATGGTTGTAATGTTAGAGGAACCTAAAGTAAGAAAAATAAAATAAAAAGGGCTTAGGAGATAGATGATCAGGTATACAAAGCAGTATATGACAACCCAGTAAAATAAGGCATCGAGTGCTGATGAAATGCGCTTTTAGAGATAGTCGGTCAAGTGAATCCCTTAAGCCAGCTTCTGCAGGACACTTTAAGAGGGAAGGACACTCAAATATTCTTAATCCAGTCCATTATAATCCCCAGAAAGTCATTTCATTACACTAAAAACCTCCTCCAAGCAAACCTGTACTAACTGCAAGCTGACCACATGGGTACCAACACCACCAAACATCAGATGGCAGCACCAGTTGTGTATACTGAAGCAGCTGTCACTAGCTTGACATTTTACCCACATGCACTGTAGGCCATGCTATGCATAGTATGCTATTATATTGATGTTGCATAACTTGCTTAATATGTATTTGGTGACTAGTCTTTTCATCTTTCCAAATTTTATCCAGTCTGTTCTAATATTTTTGGTTTAGCATTGGTATGCACAGCAATGGCTTACCTCTGTGAGCCCATACAAATTCATTGATGGGTCTCTGATACATTGGCTAGGGGTGTAGGTGTTTGCTTGGCTGTGCACAGGATAAAATCAACTGTTCCCTCAACTGTGTGGTGTTTGCACAGTCCAGTTTCCCATTGAATGCCTGGATGAGTTGGTGGGGTTTTATTTATATTTATGTGAGAAGATAAACCTGAAGAGGAACTGGAATGGGATATCTGGCCAGAAAGCTGGGAACAAAGTTTGAACTGGTCACCAGGGAACAACAAGTAAAAAGAGAATGGGCCACAAAGCTCTGATTTCTTGAGACTGATTGCAAGCAGTGTCGCAACTGATGGAAAGAGTTACATGACCTGACAAATGTTCCAATTGAGACATAGCCAAGGTGCAAACTAGTGGGAAAAGTACCAGATTACACTTACACTACAGAGGTAAAGGAACAGCCGAGTGTGCCTTGTGCACAACAAATGTAGTTACATCTCAGGCAAGAACCATAGCTCTATTTATATCAGCATTACAACTGTAAGAACAAACTGGATAAATAATGGAAAATGCCAAGACTAAATCATCACATTTGTGTTAGGCAAATATAACACTAATAACAATGCAAATATAACATTAATATCAAAGCTTAACATAAAACTGGTCCAGAGCACACAAGAAACTAGGTTTCAAGGAAGTAAACAACACTACTGTACTTGGCATTAGAGCTCACAGCCTGCCAACAACACACCAGAACAACAGTCAGGCAGAATGTGAGCTGGCTCAGGCCAGTGAACTCTGAAATGAGGTGCTGCCACCTTTTGGCGAGATGTGGGTCAGACCACACACAATCCAGCCATTAGTTGATGAGATTCCATATTTGGTGGTTACCTATGATTACAAATAAGTTTGGAATGGCTTTTAATTTAGAGGAATTATCTTCCGACAGTCATTTCTGAGCTGGATTGAGAATTCTCACTGAACACCCTCAGCTCATTATGACCCTGTAGAGATGCTGTAAAATGATCTGTAGCACCTGCCCAATAGCATCATCTATGTCCAAGGACACAGTACGATCTTGTATATAGCACTAGCCAACTGCAAGAGCTCGGATACAAGTTTGCTGGGTGGGAGATTAAATTTTTTATTTTTAGTCAGTATAATATTTAAGGGAAGATATTATTAGTCCTGTACAAGCTGAAATCACAATTGAATGTTTAAAATTTGTAATCTGAATTATTTTAGCCTTGCAAGAGTAAATTTTAAATCAGTATCCCATAGTGCAGATACATAATAGTTTACCCTTGGAAAATACTCGAAGACCTGTTTCCAAATCTGTACACAGAAATAACACCACATAAGAACCAGAAGATATGGCAGGATGTGCAAAAGGTCCAAGACTTATCAACACTCTCCCTCTCCACATACAGGGCATAACTGACCGACTTTTTGCAGTGCTCAAAAGAGAACTTGATAAACACCTTCATAGGATACTTGATCAACCAGGCTGTGACTCACACATCAGTCTGTGAGCAGCCACATCGAACAGCCTGGTTGACCATACCACCAACCAGGAAGCCCGGTCAGAGACCGGGTTGCAGGGACATTGATCCTAGGAATCCTCGACAGGTATACGACATAAAGGGTCAGTGTAAAAAAAATTAGGATCGGTAAAATACAAAAACACACATTTGTTGTACGAGCCCCCAACTTTGTATTGGAATACAGTATTAAAGCTTCAACAGTGTAATTCAAAATAACTCGAGGCTTAGCACCTAAAGGACAAAACAAATTATTTTTCATACATCCTATGATCTATCAACTTCCAAATTAAAAAAATAGATTATAGTTACACTGCCCTGTAACAAAGTATTGTATGAAATATAGTGTTATAATATACTGTACATATAACATTTAATTATATTTAAAAAAACTAATAAGAAATTAATACATACACTGCTATGGTTTGTAAACGTTTTTTCAAGCATTGTATCAGAGAACAGGCAAGTACGAATCTTATTTCGAAATATGCTCTCAATGTGACGCCGCTGAGATGGAACAGAGTCATACAGTATCAGAAGGATCAAAACATCAAGAGATCCAACACTGGCAGCATCATCATTTATTACCTGAAACATGAGAATAACTTTGAGAGAGAAGGTAGAGCGAAATGTTCTAAATGTAAGCGAGATACAGCACAACCGAACACCAGTAAAACAGAATTAACAGCTACCAGACTGGTGATCAGATACAAGGTGGCAATACCCTAAATTTGATTCTTCAGCATTATCTTCCCCATTTAGATTATGAAGGCCATTTTTTAGCACAATAATATAGAATGGACATAAATTCTTTAGAAACTGTATAGGGAATAAGAAAGTTAATCCCAGGCATTAGAAACCTTCCACACAAAAATAAAAAAAAACAGCATTGAATGTAATGAAATGCCATTTTCTACGTGAGACCCAGAGGCTTCCCGGAGTTATACCGAGCTGATGTGTATACATTAAACTATGGCAACAGTCAATCGATAGAGTTCTAGGCCTACCGGGGACCACGAGCCAGAACCTAACCCCCTCAGGAATGCATGAGGAGCAATGGCCTATACACACTCCCATGAAGTTGGATACAGTCTTTGTCTGCCATCTACCAGATAAGGCACCCAGAATGGTTGGAATCCCAAAACAAACTACAGCTGGTTAAACATTGGAAACTGAAAGCCAAACGAGCAAGCAGAACTTCCCAATCAGAAAACAAGCAAACAAGCATGATTTCACTATACAAGCAGATACAGACTGCTTCCAACTACAGGGGTACCTCAGTTTAAGAGTTTAATCCGTTCCTGGAGACGGCTCATATTCCGAAGCTAATTTCCCCATAAGAAATAATGGGAAATGAATTAATCTGTTCCTGACTACCCCAAAAACCCCACATCAAACTAAATTTTTATACCTAATTCATCTAAATAATCCTACAAAATTATGTTCAAGCTATTACTTACCTTGCTGTTGAATGCTGTAGGCGTATGGAAGATGGTGAGGAGGTGGGAGGAGGAGAGGAGTTACTGTTTGGAAGGGGAGTCCCCTTCCATTATCACATCAGGCAGTGAGGACTTCACTGGTGAGCACACACTGGCACATTTTGCCTGCATACCACTAGGACTTGTTTGTCTTACTAAGAATCTGTCTAAAGACACTTGTTTTTCCCTACATTTTAACACTTGTCTGAAGTAAGACATCACATTGTCATTTAAAAGGTCAATGCAACGGTCTGCTACAGCTTTATCTGGGTGAGTTTTTTCAACAGAACTTTGCAGTTCTTCCCATACTTCACACATTTTCTTAATCAAGAAGGGACATCCTCTACTGCCTCTACTCACAGCTATTTTCTTAGGTTGAACCTTATCAATGGCTTTCTTGAGACCCATGGCGAGATATATAATAACAACTTTTATGCTCAAATGGCCAAAAAACCGACATAAAACTGTAAATCCTTGTGAAGAATTCAGGAGGGATAGTCACTGGGCGGGAGACAATGGTAAACTGAGGGGCGGAGGGGCGATGATCGCCGTACCACCACGCGCTAGGTCGGCCTGAACGCGTATCAACAGACTTGCGTTCCGAGGTAACCCTTGCCTTCTGAGACACATTTTCCGAGGAAATCCGGCTCGTATTCCGAAAAACTTGCATACAGGGACACTCGTGTTCCGAGGTACCACTGTACATGCGGGGTGTCTTCAGGCCATTGCTCCTCATGCCTCTCTGAGGGGGTTAGGTTCTGGCTTGTGGTCCCCGGTAGACCAAGAACTCCATTGATTGACTGTTTCCACAATCTAATAGTGTACAGGGGTACCTCAGTTTAAGAGTTTAATCCAAACCTGGAGACAGCTCGTAACCCGAAAACTCGTAAACCAAAGCTAATTTCCCCATAAGAAATAATGGGAAATTAATTAATCCGTTCCTGATTACCCAAAAACTCACTTCAAACTAAATTTTATACCTAACTTATCAAAATCTACACTACAAAAGTATGTTCAAGTTATTACTTACCCTTGTTGATAATGGCTGTTGGCGTATGGAAGATTGTGAGGAGGGGGGAGGAGGAGGAGAGGTGTTACGGTTAGGAAGGGAAGTCCCCTTCCATTATAACATCAGGCAGTGATTACCTTTCTGGGGTGCACTCACTGGCACGTTTTGCCTGCATACCACTAGGTCCTGGTTGTGGCTCACTGCTTGATTTTCTCACAATAAAGCGGTCCATTGAAGATTGTTTTTCCCTTCTTTGCAAGATTTCTCTGTAGTGAGGCATCACATTGTCATTGAAAAGATTTATGCAACGGCCTACTACAGCTTTCTCTGGGTGAGTCGTTTCAATAAAAGTTTGCATTTCTTCCCATATCTTACACCACTTCTTAATGGTTGTGGAAGGGACATTCTATACTGCCTCATCCTCCTCCACTGGAGAAACATCCTCAGCTGTGTCTTCTTGCTGTTCCTTTTGAAGGGCTTGGAGTTCTTCGGTGATCAGTTTTTCGTTGAGTTCTTCCACCAATTCCTCCACATCAGCACCATCTAATTCCAAGCCCATTTACCAGCCCAGAGTAACAATTTCCTCAACAATAGGCACATCATTTACAGGCTCAAACCCCCTCAAAGTCTAGTTCTGTCACACATTCAGGCCACAATTTTCTCCAGCCAGAGATCAGAGTTCTTTGAGTCACATCTTGCCAGGCTTTGTCAACGAGTTTTAAAGCACTACAAATGTTAAAATGATGTTTCCAGAACTCTTTGAGGGTGAGGTTTGTGGCTTCAGTCACTTCAAAACATTTCTAGAAAAGTGCCCTTTCATAAAGTTTCTTAAAATTTACTATGATTTTCTGGTCCATAGGCTGAATTAGAGTGGTGTGGGGAGGAAGGAGCTTTACTGTGAGAAAATTACTGTATCTGTGCAACAATTCATCTTCCAAGCCTAGAGAATGAGTAGGAGTATTGTCAAGGAGAAGCAGGGCCTTGAGTGGCAAATGTTTCTCCTGCAGATATTTTTCTATGGCAGGACACACCACTTCATTCACCCACTGCAAAAAAAATCCTAGTCACCCATGCCTTATTATTAGCCCTCCACATCACACACATTTGGTTTTTCTGCACTTTATACTGTTTGAAAACCCTTGAATTTTCAGAATGATACACAAGCAATGGTTTAATTTTCAAATCGTCACTCGCATTTGAACACAGTACAAGCGTAAACCTATCTTTCATAGGCTTGTGTCCGGGCAATGATTTTTCCTCCTTGGTAATGTATGTCCTCTTAGGCAATCTTTTCCAGGACAGTCCTGTCTCATCACAATTAAAAACTTGTTGCAGTAGGTATCCCTCGGCCTCTGCAAACTCTTTAAATTCTTCAATAAATCTTTCAGCTACTAGTTTGTCTGAGCTGGTAGCCTCCCCATGCCTCACAACACTATGAATATCACTTCGTTTTCTAAGTTTTTCAAACCCTCCCTTGCTTGCCTTAAAGTCTATCGTATCTGCACTCGTTCCAGGGGTTTTCTTTACAAGGTCTTCGTGCAATACCCTGTCTTTCTCACAAATGATGGCCTCTGAAACACTATCACCCATTAACTCCTTGTTGTGTATCCAAATTAATAACTTTTCCACATCCTCAAGTATTTGTGGTCTTTGTTTCGTGATTATTGTTACGCCCTTTTCCACTTTAGCACTCAATGTCCTTTTTCTTGGCAAGTATAGTGCATATCACTGACATGGATTTGTTGTACTGCCTAGCTAATTCAACAACACATACACCATTTTATGCTTCCAAATTATCTCTTGTTTTTCCTTTATTGTCATCCTCACATGCGATTTCTTGCCTTGAACCTTACCACTGGCTTTCTTGGGACCCATGGTGAGATGTATAATAACAACTTTTATGGTCAAATGACCAAAAATCCAACAAAACACTGTAAATCCTGATGATGAATTCAGGCAGGATAGTCACTGGGCGCGAGGCACTGGTAAACTGAGGGGTGATCGCCACGCCACCACGCACTAGGTCAGCCTGTACACGTATCAACACCCTTGTATTCCGAGGCCACGCTCGTATCTCGATGTAAATTTTCCGAGCAAATCCTGCTCATAACCCGAAAAACTCGTAACCAGGAATGCTCGTAATCCGAGATACCACTGTATATACACATCAGCCCAGTATAGCTCCAGGGAGCCAGAGGGGCTCTCCACAAAAAAGTTTAATATACATATATATATAAATATATATATATATATATATATGTATATATATATATATATATATTTGCTAAAAAGTAAATGTTTAAGGGAGAGCAACAGACATGACTTAAGTGTACAAAAGAATGAAAGGATATAACAAAGAGAGATAATAATAGGGTGCTAAATATCTCAACAAAAATTAAATATGAAACAATGGATACAAAGTAAATATGTTTTGACTCAGAGAATACCTTATTATATAAGAGTTTGGGAATAGGATTATAGATTTATGGAACAGATTTCTGGATAGCAAAACAGACTGAGATGGGTAGATTGTTTCAAGCATAAGTAGACAAATCCATGAGTGGCTGTATTTCGACATAAATAGGAATTGCCTTACATGGGCAGTTTCATAGTCTTATGCTCTGAAGACCCTTTTTGTTGAAAAGAGATTCAAATATTTTTGAAACAGTAGAGGAAAGATCAGCTGAATGAAAATTAGAAAAGTCAGAATCACAATCCTCCTTTGGGAAAGATTGAACCAGGGAATGTTTCCAAAACAGACAAGCTAATATAGGTAAAACCTTAGTAGAAGGGGGAGGCACACCATCTAGGCCATATGCTTCGTGATGCTTAAAAGCTTGAAGAGCTTTGCAAAAAGCACTTACAATGCAAAAATGAGGCACAAGATTAACCAGAAGATAATTATGAGGGGTCAGAGTAGCTAGAGTAATCAAGGTTACTTCAAGTTTATTAAGACTGAAAAAAAGACCAAAGAAAATATCCTCACTATTCAGAGGAATAAGCTGCACTTAATATAAGAAGTAATCAAAATATGAAAAGAAAACTGACAAGTGATGATATTTTTAACAAAAGATCAGAGAGAGCTGTTAAGAGTTAGATGACAATTCACCACAATTTTTGTTGGAAAACTGTGTTTAATGGTGCAATGGACAGACTTTGCATGCTTCCTTGAAGAAAACTAAAGATAATAGCTAACAAAAAGAAAATAAATGGTTTGAAGGTCATTTTCTGTAGCTTAAATGTTTTGGAGAAAAAACATTTAACCAAGGTTTCAAAATGGGAGAGGAGTATGATCCAAATGGCCCAAAGGTACACTGAACTTAATCCTGTTGGAAGCCACACCCAAATCATGCTCATACAGGGAACAAGGACACAAAAAACCCTCCCCCTGCCTGAGGAGACTCTCTTCAGAGGGAACAAGGAACCACTAGGAGTTCAATGGGACCCACAGACTCATATCAGATTCCTTGGGGTGCAGCCAGCATCTACACCCACTGCTCGGGATGGAAAAGCAGAGTTCAGGGAAGAAGCTTCAAAAGAGGGTGGTGCAGGCCGACAGGAAAATCCCGAGGCCAAGGCAGAACTAGCTGGATCAACTGCCTCCACACCCATTTTGGAAGGGGCACCCTCCATAGCTAGCAAAGCCCTGCCCCGACCCAGAAACCTTTAGAAGCTTTGAGGTTGGAAACATGCCCGAAGGGAAAGGAAGAGGAAGTGTGGACAGAAACAACATGTAGTTCAACATCAACTCCAATTCTGGGTCCCTAAACACCAGACAGGGTAACTCCATATACAAGCAGGTGCATAACCTAGACCATTGTAACTAAGCAAAGTGAACACACAAAGTGGAAGCCTGATCAAGAGGGTTAGAAAGAAGAGTCACATGGGGAGAGCAAAACCAACAGGACTCAGTGTTGAATGTATTTAAGGATTTACTGGGTGCAAAATCCTTAACTGTTGCCTTTGTTTACCCAACAGTAAAATGGTACTTGGTTGATAAACAATTTGGCAGGGTCATATACCGGGAATATTAGGATTAAGGGCTTGCTAGAAACACTATGCGTGCTAGTAGCAGTACAAGAATGTAAGAACTCTTGTACAGTATATACTGTACTGTATAAAAACAAAAATAAAAATATCACCGACCCAACGCGCAGCATGTCAAAGGATGAATGAGTGATCGTCGTCACTTAGTACAGACGACAAGCCACCATCAAACTTGCACAAAGCAAAAGCAAGTTCAGGGGAAGGGGATATCCTTATGACTACCGAACCCACAGGTGATTACCAGGGACCTGAAGGGCACAACTATGCAGGACACCCAGGCAATGGAGACATTATGCTATTCATAAAAGTAAGGTGACACAGCCTGTGTTTCACGGCTGTGAAGGGTGACTTCAGCACGCTAAAGGGAAGTCCGTGAACCACAAGTACGCCCCGCCAGTCAAAGTCACAGTCAACCTGGGTTAAGACAGAATAGTCACAAAATCCCCCCAACTCACCCTGGGCGAAGGCCACCACAGGCAACAAGGACTTCTTAGGAAACGACTCCCGAACACTGCCGAGAAGACAACTCTTGGCGCTGCAAGGATAGCACTAGGGAGCACATGCACCTCCAAGCACTCTACAAGCCAGGCTCATACTAAACCGCAATGTACAAGAAAAGACACCAAAGGACCCAAAAATCACTTAACTGAACAATGGAGCCCGCATGGAAGGGAGACAACCCAGGAACAATTACAATAGTCAAGTAAACCTGAGCACATCAATGTAAGTACTGACAGATCAGATCCATGGAAGCAAGAGCTTTCTCCCACTCCTCCCAAACAAGTGGGGAAGGTGAGGCGAACGAGTTCATACTAGCTCCGAGAGGTTTGATTGTTTACATACTTCAGGGAGTTCATTACGCTGATTGTGAGTCTTTGGTCTCTTTCAAACCAAGCTATTGGTTTGATTTGACTCGCTGACTTTCTGGATATTTTCCCCAGTAAGCTGGCGAAATGTCACCACTTCCCTCATTAAATGTAAGGGGAGGCCAGGTTCTGGCTCAGGTCCCCAGTGGGCCTAAGAATTTCACAGCTGATGTGACCTGTTAGATGGGAATCATCTCAGTGAATGACTTCTGGGAACCACAAGGGGCTCCCTTGAGAAAATACAATACAGCACTAGAAATAATTAAAATATAATTAAATTTGTTGAAAACCCCTGAACCTCACAAAACAATGAAAAGGTACAAATAAAGTAAATTACCTTTAACCATGCAGTGGAGAGATACTTATGGGTGAGGGTGGCCATCTTAATGTTATTTATTAACAGAACTTTATATGCTATCTCTTCATTACAATTATTATTTGTTGCAGTGCTGCTTAAATTATGTTTCCTTGGAGTCTTTCTTGGGGACTTCTTGCTTCTACTATGATCATCTGGCAAGTTGATCTTCTCTCTCATATCATTTAAAACCTGAATAAAAGATAAAAAAAATTTGAAGTAAAAGCTATATCCGTGTTGGATAACAGATCACACCAACAATAACAGTTTAACCCTCAGACCGCGTAATACATATACAGATGATTTGAGTAACAAAACCAGAACCGCGCAATACATTAATAACTGTTTTAGTGTCTAGCGCTTTAATTTAAACACCCCACGTGGGACAGGGGCAGCTATTGTGCAGCCACAACCAATAGTTGGCAGACGCCACCTAGAAAAAAATTGTGGCCAACATTCCTGGGTGTAAGAGCATCAGTACTCAGCGAGCCACCAAGGCTGACTCATGCAGCATGAGCTCACAGCACAGCTATTCAGCCTTGTGACCACAGGATCGCCTAAAAATGTCAAAATATATATGTAACTACTACTATTTAGCAATGATAGTATTACAGAAGACCCTTGACTGTGATAAAACTGACCAGGATTCAGATAATAGCAGGATTGTGGTGATATTTAGCGCTGTGCTCCATGGTGGGAGGAGTAATGCTGAGGGAGGGAGGGTGGTAGTGTCGTCTTCTGTGTGTGGCCACCTTTTATTGACTGGACTTACCACACCAGCTTAGTGGTTCACTATGGTGAACACAAATGTAGATACTTATATATGTAACGTGTGTATAGTGTGTATACTTCTATTATTATGTACTATTATTACACTCTATACACACGTTATATATATAAGTATCTACATTTGTGTTCACCATAGTGAACCACTAAGCTGGTGTGGTAAGTCCAGTCAATAAAAGGTGGCCACACACAGTCTGAAGACAACACTACCACCCTCTCTCCCTAAGCATTACTTCTGTTCGGTCTTCGGTATTAATTAATTTTTTTTTCCATGTGGGGTTTGTTTTTGTTACGCCTACTTTTCTGGGTGCCAAACCCCGGTCGATTGCAGACATGGAATGCTTCCAAATACATGGGGGTTTCCATAGACCATTGCTCCTCGTACCTCTCTGAGGGGGGGCAGGTTCTGGTTCATGGTCCCCAGTGGGTAAGAACTCCAATTGATTGGTGCCACGATCTAATACTGTACATACATATCAGCCCAATAAGCTCCAAGGAGCCATAGGGGCTCCCCACAGAAAAACACTTATCACAGGCCCTAAACATCTTTTGGAGACAGAGCCTTGATACTGGTGTTATCCCTGACATACTTAAAATAGCAGAGATCACAGCACTTCACAAAGGAGGTAGCAAAGCTGATGCAAAAAATTATAGACCAATAGCTCTAACATTGCACATCAAAATAATCTTTGAAAGAGTGCTAAGAAGCAAGATCACAAAACACGTGGAATCAGTGTCTAGATAACCATGGGCAACATGGGTTCATAAGAGGGTACTCCTGCCTCTCACAATTGCTATACTGTACCACTATGACATGGCCTTAGATGCCATGGAAGACAAAACACTGACGTAATATACAGAGATTTCATAAATCTGACAAATGTGACCATGGTGTTATTGCACACAAAATGCTCACAAAAGAAATTACAGTACAGTACTCCCAAAGTAGGGAGATGGGTTTTTAACTTGTTACCAAACAGAACCCAAAGTGTAATAGTCAACAAAGTAAAATCTGAATCATCCACCGTGAAAAGCTCAGTTTCTCAAGGTACCGTGCTTGCTCCGGTACATATCCTCATCCTAATATCAGACAGAGACAGGGATACAAACTAGAGTACTGTATCATCCTTTGCAGATAACACTAGAATTTTCAAGATAAACAACATAAGAGGACATAGCAAACCTTCAATCTGATGTTAATCAAGTCTTTCAATGGACCACAGAAAATAGCAAGATGTTTAACGAGCATAAGTTTCAATTACTGCGCTATGGAAAAACGACAAAAATAAAAGCAGAAATTGCAAATAAAACACAGTTAAACCACACTACTGAAAGAAAAAGAAAAATTAATGAAAAAACTTAGGAGTAATCCTTTTGGAACACCTTATTTTTAAAAACACAACAAAATTGCTGTCACAATTGCAAGAACAATGACAGGTTGAATGACAAGAACCTTCCAAATAATAGATGCTGTACCAATGATGATACTTTTTAAGACATTAGTGCTCACTAGAGTGGAATATTGCTGCACACTAACAGCCCATATCTCAAACTGCTGCACACTCATATAGCTACACACTAACACCAATATCTAATGAAGCACATCAATAAACTGGAAAGAGTGCAAAGACATGAACAAATCCACAAGGGCCGTGATGAGGATTCGAACCTGCATCCGGGAGCATCCCAGACACTGCCTTAATCATTTGATGCATCACGTTAGTGTGATCTCTGTGTGTAGTGTAAAGACATGTTATAAAATGGCTTCAAGAACCAAAAGACAGTTGCTACAAGGAGAGGCTAGGGGTATTAAATATTCCAAAGCTAGGGGATACTGTACAAGAAAACAAGGTGATGTGATAACCAAGCACATTAGTAACAGGAATTGACAAAACCCACAAGGAGGAATTCTTGAAACCAGCCTTTTCAAGAACAAGAGGTCATCAATTAAAGTTACAGAAACAAAGGTTCCAAAAAAATACTAGAAAGTTCTTTTTTGCCATTTGCTAACAGAGTGGTAGACAGTTGGAATAGTGATAAGGCAGAGGCTGCCAATAATGTCACTAGTTTGAAGTTATCATATGACAGAGTACTGGGAAGCCACACCACCATGAGTGTAGCTCTCATCCTGTAACTGCACGTAATTATTAAATTTTGAAGAATTACAAACTTAATGGTCTTCACAAAATTTTTACCTTCTATTTTAGGTCAAGTAAGAAACATTTAATTATCATAAAAATCCCAATTTCTCACAGAAACAGGTCTAAATGGAATTTAGTATGTAATTTACAAACAATATGAGAATTCTGAAATCTTGTAAAGTAGCAGGGGCCATGATGTGTAAATTTGAAAGATTGCCAAAAATGGGTAAATGTACTACAAAACTATAAAGTATCACTACTCACCTGATATGCAATTGGTTGAGGGGTATTGTTAAGCAAGAACCGTGTTACAATGGGCAGCTGCTCTGGCCTTGTAGCCTGTAGTGTTTTAAGCACAGAATGACGAACATCCTCCAGGCAGTCCGGTGCCAGGGTAAGGTGTCCCAGAGTGTCAAGAATGGCAGACGTCAGTTCTGGCACTGTGTCATACAGCTCACTGCAAATAACCAATTGTAAAATTAACATATAGCATATTGTATTTTTATTTAGAAATAAGCCACAGCAAATGTAAAATTTCTCACTCAAGAGGTTCAGACCAAGTTTAAACAGCAATACCAACTTTATTAATAATTATATAAAAAAGCACAGAATGTAATGAAATCACTTTTTGGTGGAGTCTCAGTGGCTCCCAAGCAATCTTGCTGGGATGGCTTACCCCCTACTGAGTCACATCAGACATAGTTCTTCTTTGCCTACTGGGGACCAGAGCCAAAACTTGCCCCCCCCCCCCTCCCTTCACAGAGGCACATGGAGCTAGGGACTGTTATAATCACCCACACAGAGAAGTATCTAAAGCATAAAAGAGGCTAATACAAATACAACCCATCTTCAGGCTATGTTCATTCCATCCAGCAGTCGACCCCAAAGTTGCATTCATAAATTTTAACATGTTGTTCATCAAAATTGGATTTTTCTCAAATATAAATTAATATTGATATATATATTAGCATATTGTGCATATTTAGGCATTAGTTACGTTAGGTATTTAAGTTCTGTTGACCATTAGTTGTATTTGTAGAACGTGAGTGAAGCATTTACAGCGTTGTGGTTCGAACAAAAGTCGACATGAAAGCATCGTTTGAGAAGTGTTCAACGTCATTGGTTGCGAGTCGTGTGTAAACCATTTTTCATTCATAAAGAGGGGGTTTGTTGAGTGCATTTAGACCAAAATGATTCACTCGAAAGTAGCTCAAACCTCCCTAGTGCAAACGGCCACCAACAGGTGGCGTCCCTGCAGCTCCTAGCTTCCACCACAGCAATGAGTCAGTCTAGAAATAATAAACCACAAACTAACACACTTGGTAGGGGTTGAAGGATTCGGGGAACCACCGAAGCTCTACCAGAAATAAACTTTCATTACATTCAATGCTGGTTTACTGAAGAGTAAGTCTGTGATGGCCCTCTGAAGCTATCTAACATTAGACAAATATGGTACTTACCAGGGAGAGTAGCAACTTTATTCATAAAGATTCTTTCTTTATTCATAACCAGGCAAAAAAAAACCAACCCAAAGCAACACAAGTTCAACTGGGATCAGGAATATATGCTAGATAAGAAAGGAGCCGCCAGAACCCTGTTAGACCTCCAAAATCCACAAGGCCAAATATCAGCTCATGACATGTTAGTGCAGCCCGTCCTCATAAACAAAGGCCAAAGTCCATTCCATATAACCGCCAAACCCCCCTTTTATGACTGAAAAACAGTTTACGCACACGATTCACGACTGATGACATTCAAACACTTTTCGAACAAGTGCTACGCTGATGACTTGTTCAAACCCAGCCCGTCCTCCAAACAAAGATCCAAAAGTGATTCCATGCACCCGCCAAACCCCCTGTTTATGAATGAAAAGCGGTTTACACACGACTCAACTGCTGACGTTCGAACATATCCTGAACAAGTGCTTCACCGACGAATTTTGTTTGAATCACAACGCTATAAATGCTTCACCCACGTACTACAAATACCAATAATCGCCAACAGAACCTAAACACCTGACCTAACCTATCCTATGCCTATACATACACAATATGCTAATATATTATAATATTAATTTATACTTGAGAAAATTCCCGTTTTGAATGAACAGCATGTTAAAATTTATGAATATGTCTGTGGGGTCGACCGCTGAATGTAATGGACTTGAGTCGAGGATGGGTTGTTCAAGCCACAACGCTGTAAATGCTTCACCCACACAATACAAATAAGCGCCAACAGAGCCTAAACACCAAACCTAACCAAACCAATGCCTAAATAAACACAGTATGTTTATAACAATATTAATTTATATTTGACGAAATTCCTATTTAGAATGACCAGCATGTTAAAATTTATGAATGCATCTTTGGGGTCTCAACCGCTGGATGGAATGAAGATAGACTGAGGATGGGATAGTTAGTGAACACAGTGGCAGCAGGCCACGCCACAACTACCAAAGTAATAACATTACATTACAGCAGATTGATGAAGAAAGGGACCTTGTGTCAAAATCCACCACTGACTAAAAGTTGCACAAAAGGTAGGAGAAGCAGTCAGAAAAGCTAAGCAAACTCTTGGAATAATGAACGTATTTTTTACTTTAAAGAAAAGAAGTGATTCAACTGCATAAATCTCTGGTGCACCCCAATTTGGATTACTGTATCCAAGCATGGAGACCTCATTTTCAACAGGACATAGCTGGTTTGGAGAAAGTGCAACACCAGGCAACAAAAGACATTCCAGAGCTAAGTCATCTCTGATATTAGAAAAGGTAGAGTGCCACAGGGCGGATCTCACTGAAATTTTAAAAATACTGAATAAGTTAGAGAATGTCCATCTGGCCAATTTCTTCAAAACGTGAGACGTAACACAAACAAATATAGTTTCAAGCTCAACAACCCTCAATGTAGGACAGAGTGGCCCGTCCTCCAAACAAAGGTCCAAAGTCCATTCCGTGCACCAGCCAAACCAACCCGTCCTCGACTCAAGTCCATTACATCCAGCGGTCGACCCCACAGACGCATTCATAAATTTTAATATGCTGTTCATTCAAAACGGGAATTTTCTCAAGTATAAATTAATATTATAATATATTAGCATATTGTGCATATATAGGCATAGGTTAGGTTAGGTTAGGTGTTTAGGTCTGTTGGCGATTATTTGTAGTACGTGGGTGAAGCATTTATAGCGTTGTGATTCGAACAAAATTCGTCAGTGAAACACTTGTTCCGGATATGTTCGAACGTCAGCAGTTGAGTCGTGTGTAAACCGCTTTTCATTCATAAACAGAGGGTTTGGCGGGTGCATGGAATCACTTTTGGAGCTTTGTTTGGAGGACGGGCTGAGCCAAACACCGTTTATGAATGAAAAACGGTTTACACACGACTCGCAACTGATGACATCCGAACGCTTTCGAAACAACTGATTCCCTGACGACTTCCCTGTTCGAACTACAGTACAACGCTGTGAATGCTTCACCCATGTAATACAAATACAAATAATCGGCAACAGAACCTAAATACCTAACCTAACCAGTGTCTAAATGTGCACAATATGCTAATATCTAATAATATTAATTTATAATTGAGAAAAGTTCTGTTTTGAATAAACAATGTTAAAATTGATGAATGCGTCTTTGGGGTTGACCGCTGAATACCTGGTTGATACCTGGTTGATGGGGTTCTAGGAGTTCTTCTACTCCCCAAGCCCGGCTCGAGGCCTGGCTCGAGGCCCGGCCCGAGGCCAGGCTTGACTTGTGAGAGTTTGGTCCACCAGGCTGTTGCTTGGAGCGGCCCGCAGGCCCACATACCCACCACAGCTCGGTTGGTCTGGCACTCCTTGGAGGAAACAATCTAGTTTCCTCTTGAAGATGTTGACCAGACCACACACTAGAAGGTGAAGGGACGACGACGTTTCGGTCCGTCCTACACCATTCTCAAGTCGATCGACTTGAAAATGGTCCCCGGGGACAATGTCTGCCTTCCACCCGCCCCCCCCCCCCCCAACACAGCTCTAACTTCTGGCTGAAAGAAACATCAGGCATAAGAAAACCTGCTCAAACGTCTCGACTTGCTCGGGAACCGAACCCGGATCCAATTGGTTGAGAGTGGACGATGCTAATCAAATGTTTAAAGCGCGTCCATGGATCAATTTATTTAAGTGAGTGAAGATGTAGATAAGGTGAGAGATGGAGGCAAGAGATGATGTGCAGAGTGATGAGCAAGGATGACCCCAGGTAGGCACTGAGGCACAGACTGTGTAAACCACCATCACATCATCACCACCCTTCTATATTAATTTAAGGATCCTTATGGCAACAGTGCCAGCCTGTGCCACACCTGTGCCAGGCTTGTGTGCCTGGGTTACCTCAGGTTACGCTCGCAGCTTTTACTACATCATTTTCTGCCTGGTGTGGTAAGTGGAGAGGTCGGGGCTGGCAGGTCTACCACACCTAGGGACTGTGCTCCTCACACGTGTGTTATAATGTTGACGTTAATACTGTCGTGATTTACTGTCTAACACGGCCTCCTAGGCCTAAAATGACATTTTACCACACCCCTAAACTACGATATGCTACATCATCTCGGTAGATAGGGTCCAAACGGGGGGAGAGAGAGAGAGAGAGAGAGAGAGAGAGAGAGAGAGAGAGAGAGAGAGAGAGAGAGAGAGAGAGAGAGAGAGAGAGAGAGAGAGAGAGAGAGAGAGAGAGAGAGGGGGAGGGAGAGGAGGGAGGGAGGGAGGGAGGGAGGGAGGGAGGGAGGGAGGGAGGGAGGGAGAGAGGGAGAGAGGGAGAGGGAGAGAGGGAGAGAGGGAGAGAGGGAGAGAGGGAGGGAGGGAGGGAGAGAGAGAGAGGGAGGTATATTAATACATCTTTAGAAGGAATCTTTTGTATATTAATATTAATATACGAAAGTACTTAAGGAAATTCGTGTTTCAATTCTTCCTCCGTGGTCTGACACTGTCACATTTTTCATCACGTTAATTTTCGTGATTGACACACACACACACACATATATATATATATATATATATATATATATATATATATATATATATATATATATATATATATATATTATTAGTCAATACGGAGAGGATAACGAGGAGGGTGGTGGGGGGGGGGGGAAGTGACACAGTCGGTGACTGGCCGCCTATTGGGTTACACATCTTACAATATGACGTCACTACTACGTCATCGGTATCATCAAACACCTCGTGTTAACATTACGTCATCGGTATCATGCATGCCGTGTCTATTTCAATATGTTTTGGGATGGAATGGAGGGGAAAGGGGGGGGGGGTAGGGATGGTACCCAACTACTTGGACGGTAGGGGATTGAAGGTGGTTCTACCGTCCAGCCCAAGTGGTTGGACTCATTGTATGACAAACTCCAAAACTTGCTCCTCAAAGAGGTTACATTCACTACCCTCGTGCTGAAGGTGTCTTACATCTGCCGT